GGCCCGTGAGCAGCAGGGAGTTGCCCGCCAGGCAGTGGCTTATAGGGTCGTCCACCCCGTTCCACCTCCGCTGTTTGGGGCGCTCCGCCTCCATGCGCGGCGCCCTGCCGCTGAGCAAAGGCTTCGTCTCTTCCACGCGGTAGACCGGCGTGCCGTCCGGGTGGCGCAGCGCCTCCAGCGCCCGCAGCCGCTCCGCGAAGCGCTTCGGCAACCGCTGCGTCAGCAGGCAGTCCGTCTTCACCTGCGCGAGGTACCGCGGCGGCGCGTCCAGGATGCGCCGGGCCTTGGCCACCATGCAGTGCTCAAAGCCCAGGACCGCGTCGTGGATGGGGCGGTAGGTGCCGTTGCTCAGCAGCCTCCTGGCGTAGACGAAGTCCCACACCATGCCCCCCTCGTAGGCGAAGGCCTGGGAGAAGTCCGCGCCCGCGCCGTCAGCTCGCTGCTGCTGCTGCGCACGCTGTAGACCACCTCCGTGTTGCGCGCCCACAGGCCTATCATCGCGTTCACGCTGAGCTTGGCCATGTGCTCCTCGCCCTCGGGCCACGCGGCGTCCATGCGCTCCAGCGCGCGCCACAGCGTCGCCGCGTCCACGTGGCTCCGCGCGGAGATGCCCAACACGATGTGGTCCCAGCGGCAGACGCCCAGGTCCAGCATCGCGGCCAGCGAAACCTTCGGGTACCAGCCGGGCCCCACGTACGGCAACAGGTTCAGGCAGGACTGCCTCGCGTCGCAGCAGCCCTCCACAAAGCCCAGGCCCGGCAGCGCGCCGTCCACGGGCTCAACGCCGTCCGCCGGGCACAGGATGGGCAGGGGGAAGGGGGCGTTGGCCAGCCCGTTGCGCCTGCAGCGCACCACGTCCACGCCGACGTACGTGCTGTCCTTTGCGCACGTCTGCGCCTCAAAGACCAGAGGAGGCAGCTTGGGGCTCCGGACGTACTCCATGACGCCGGGGGCCACGCGGCTCTCCAGGCTGGTGGGCTGCGCGCTCTCCCTCAGCGTCTTCTCGCTGTGGCAGTCGCCGCACAGCGCCTGCAAAATCTGCACGCTGCCCGCAAAGGCCTGCCTCACCAGCACCACGTGGTCCAGCTCGCAGGTGCCGGCCGTCAGCCCGCAGCCGCACAGCGCGCACTTGCCGTCCTGCGCGGCCAGGGTCTTCTGCCTCTCCGCCGCGCCGGGCGCTTCCCGTTTCGCCTTCAGCAGCTTCAGGAAGATCTCGTGCGCCAAGCCGGCCAGGCGCTGGCCCCGGTACTCCTGCCCCAGCGCCTCGCACCACCTCCGCAGCACCTCGTGCTCCTCCGGCAGCTCTCGGATCCTGGTGCCCCGCCTCAGCCTCAGCCCGCAGTACTGCGCCGGGCTGCTGATGGCCACCTTGGGGCTCTCGCCGGCGGCCATGAGCTGGCGCCGCGCCTCCCGCAGGTCCTCGCACCAGAACAGCCCCGGCTGCACGTCCGCGGCGTCGAAGCGCCTCCACTCTTGGAAGGGCGGCAGGGTCTGCCTCGCCTCGCCTCGAAGCAACGCGCATGCCGCCCTGTCCGCTCCCAGCGCAACCGCCTTCACGGCCCTGTACATGTAGCAGTGCCCGTCGAAGGCCAAGAAGCACACGGTGCGGTGCTCCTTCAGCGCCGGGTCGTAGCAGTCCACCAGGTCGCCCTGCGAGCTCAGCACGCGCATCGGGGCGTTGCGCCACACGCAGAACTCTCGCACCTCCTCGGCGGAGATGCCGAGGCGCCTCCAGTCGTGGCGCAGCATGGCGTCGAAGTCGGCGCACACCTCCTCCACGCTCAGCTGCAGCAGCTCGGCCAGCTGCCGGGGCACGCAGAGCGACTTGTCCTCGAAGGCGCTCGGCAGCACGTCCTCCTCGCAGGGCAGCTGGAAGCTCACGCTCCTCAGGCCCCTCATGCGCTGGCGCAGGAGCGTCTCCACCTCGGTCCTGGAGTTCCTGTAGTGCGGCTCTGGTGCTGACCACCCAGTGCCCCTCGGGTCGAGGAAGTAGGTCTCGTCCGAGAGCTGCAGGATGGGGCCGCCCGGATCGAGCGAGGCCTCAACCTGCTGCCTGACCCGCTGCGCCACCTGCTCCTCCGTGAGGTGGGCCGGGTGCCTCGTGGCCCCGCCCAGCTCATTCACCGGCAGCCAGTCCCTGCGCTCGTAGTTCCGCCCGCTGCGCCACCTGCCCCGGATGATCACCGGCACGTGGACCAGGTACTCGTAGTACTTGTCGCGGAAGAAGCCCTTGCCCAGCTTGGTCAGCCGGTGCTCTCCGCCCTGCAGGGAGCGCACGAGCTTCTTCTGCCCGTTGCGCAGCAGGATGTAGTCGTTGGGCCCCTCGCGGATGAGGGGCTGGTTGTAGTCGAAGTCCTTGCTGGGAGGCCGCAGGCCCAGGTGGGAGTAGTAGTGCTGGCCCGCCCGGGTCAGCTGCCCGTCCGCGCGCGAGAGCAGCGCGTAGGCCCCCGGGCCGCGCCGCAGGTTCAGCACGACGGCACCATCCGCCCCCGTGCGAGCCCGGGCGCCGCCGTCCGCGGCCTCCGTGATCTGCTGTCGTTGTCTCGCCCAACTTGCCATTCTTTTTTTACGGGGCCAGTTTTTTTTTTGCTCGGCGCAGTCTCCCCGGCCAAGTCGGGGGTGCGTTCAAACGGGTTATGCCCTCAGAGCGTTTTCGCGGCGGGCGGGCTGGTGCCTGTAGGGTTTAAACACAGCTGGCTTTCAACAAGTCACTATTTGCTCGAGAAGCAAGCTCTGCGATGGCGACTCTCCGAGTGCGAGCGCGAGGCGCGCGAGGCGGCAGCGAACCTGGTGCTGTCTACCGTCCTTCCGCACTCCGTGAGAATGGGGACTCGCGTGCTCGAGACCCTGGACGACATGCGGGAGATACTGTCCTACGACAGCATCGGCTGCAAGCAGGCTCTGCCCATCTTTGAAGAACTCGTCAAGGCCGGCCAGGAGCCCGTGGGTGAAGACTACCCGGCGACGAATTTGGAGCATCGCCTGGTGGAGTGGTTGGATCGCCGCGAAGCCGCCCCGGACACTCCGCCCGTGAAGCCTCAGTCTCCGCGCCAGCCCATTTACCTGAACTTGAAGAGGAAGGCGTGCGAGCGAGCGGAGAGCCGGAGAAGCCGGAGAAGCCGGAGCCGGAGGTAACCACTTTCTTGCTGCCAAGGGCCGCCGAGCCGCGAGAGGAGGATTTCATGAGGAACAAGGCCGCTCCCGTCTTCCACAGCAGCAACCACGTTCTGGTTCCCTGTCAGTTCCGCCACACAGGCCCGGGTGTGTCCGAAGCAGAACTGCTGGAGTGCCTTTACAGGGTGGGGGACGACAAGTACCAGGGCAAAGGTTGCGCTTGGATGGCGTGGCGCCTTGTGGGCCAAGCTCAGCCTCCTGACGTCGGCCACCACGTCGTGCTTCGACCCGAAAGAGGGGCAAACTTGTGGGTCTTCTTCCACAAGCCCACCATGAAGCTGCTGCCCCATCCTCCGGCGTCCACCCAGCTCTACAAGCTTGGCAAGGGGAAGCTTCACGATGTCGTGAAGCTGATGGCCAACTGCTTGGAGCAGAAGGGGACCATGCGGGCCATGAGTCGGGGCGAGTACGACGGCCTTGTTGCAGCAAACGAACCTCCGGCGCCAGAGTTCTCCCCACGACGGGTTTTGAAGAACTACGACGATATGACGACGTCCGAGTTCCAGAGCCATCTCATCAAGCTCGACACGACCTTCCGAGGCGACAAGGCCTTGAACACCGGCAAGCGCCCGCCGAACAGTGAGGACGAGTTCGTGCACTTGCAGAGCAGGGCCCTCTTGCAGCTCCGCAAGCAACTCCAGGACGACCAGTTGCAAACGGAGAGCCTGCTGGTGTCGCGCCATCGCCAACTTCTGATGACCGACTTCGTCATCAACGAGAGCACCGTGAACTGCTGGTGGTACAACCCCGAGGTCCACCAGAAGCAGCCACTGGACTTTTTCGAGGCCTACGGGCGAGCTCGCGACGAGCGAAGGACCCTGATCTTCTACGGAGACAGCGGCAAGGGGAAAACTCCCCTGGCAAGTTGCCTGGCAGCCATGGTAGCCCGCGACGTGGGTCTGGACGAGTTCGTCATGGTGTCCAGCCCGGACATGCTGCGATCCGCGGTCGAGCGCAGCCTCCTGCGCGACGAGAGGCCTTTGCTCCTGGACGAGCTTCAGATCAGCAGCAGCAACATCGGCGCCCAAGGCGGGGGAGTGGACACGCTGAAGCATCTCCTCGGTCTGTCGCCCGACTTGCCAGCCACCATCAAATGTCGCTACAACGACGTGAAGGTGCCTGCGGAGACGTTCAGGATCATCACGGTGCAGGACCTGGCGAAACTCCACCACAGCTTGGACGACATGGCGAAGATTCGCCCTCCGGACCTCATGCTCGAAGGGTTTGAGTGGCGCGCTCGCCCGCTTGACAAGGTCTTCGACGCGGACACGCGCGCGGTGCTGAAGCGCTGCATCCTCGTGGAAGTGACGGCGCAGTGTCCCAGAGCTTCCAAAAGTAGTTAAATAATTTAACAATATCTAATTAAGCTAACAATGCTTAAAGTGAATGCTTAATTAAGCGTTTTTCCTTTAATTAAACATTGTTTTTTGTTTTTTGAAGCAAAAATGCTTTAGGAAGCATTGTTTTGTGCTTAATTAAGCATTGTAGTTTTTATTTAAGCATTGTTCGCTTAATTAAGCATTGTTGTTTTTGCAAAAAACAATGCTTAAATAGAGAGCTTGATTTTCTATGGTTCATGGACTTCACAGACATGTCTCGAATTTTACTCCAAGATTGCAAATATATTTTTGCTTGAACGCTGATCTTTGTTTTGCTGAACGTCAAAGGTTTTTTTAACTTGGGGGACGATGGACGTGTTGTTTTTTTCCGCAGATTGTTGTTGTTTCTTTTTTTCAAGCATGTTTTTTGAGTATGTGCAGCGGCGTGCATGTGCCTGCGTAAAGGCAGCAGACGCAGTTGGACCGAGCCCTTGCATGGCTGCAAACATGCCGCCTCCTCGAGCTAGAAACACGGCTAGTGCCAAAGACTTGGTGAAGTGCTTCAGATCTCACTTCAAAGACCTGGACCCGGCAGCTTTCAGAAAGGATGTGGAGGAGGTTATAGCACAGTATGAGGGCTTGCTGGCAGACATCATGGATGAGACAGTTCGGCCTTCAGAGTCTGTGCTGAGGGACGGCTTGGTCAGATCTTATGACGTCAGTGGCAAGGATGCTCGCGCAGTGGCAAGGGACATATCTGCTTGCTTCAAGCATTTGAGGAGCAAGCTGCAGTCCAGCAGTTCCGGGAAGAAGCTCACGCCCAGTGTGTGGAGGCTTGTGTCGAAGCTCAAGCAGCTTACAGGGCAAGGCACTCCGCAGAAAGCCATGGATCCCATGAAAGAACGCGAGCCCGTCGAGACACCTGGCGCAGCACAGGCTCTTCCTGCAGGTGACCCTGCACCCTTTAAGCCAAGCAGAAGATACCGTTTCAAAAGGAAGGCTACAGCTTCGTGCGATGTTTTCAGCATGTATGGTCTTCCAGCCACTGCCAGTAATGCATCAGTTGACGATGAGGCAGCTGCAGAGGCCTCTGACGTGGGAGAGGCAGACCAGGTGGACTCAGATTCAGATGTTTTGGTTGTGAAAGACTCGGAGGAAGAGGATCTCCAGGCAGCTGCTGCAATCCCTTTGGCAAAAGCGTACTTTGACCCCAGCCAGGGCTGCTATGTCAAAGCCTTGGAAGGAGGCAAGTGCATTCATGGCGAGTTGAAGGAAGGAGCAGCTGGGTTTTGCATGGTTCACTTCCCAGACGAAGAGCCATTTGAGAGCCAAGTCCCGAATCTATGGCTGTCGAGTCGCAAAAGCGCGCCGGCTTTCAAGTTCTCCAAGCGCGGCAAGGCCGCCTTCGGAAAGGCCAAGAAGAAGGCGAAGCGAGCCGCAGAGCCTGCTGGAAAGGAGGCAGAGGCTACTGTGGGATCCAGAGTCCGGCGAGAGCAACCAGGAGTTGCTAGCAGCCGCGCCTCTGGAGCTGGAGTCTTGGAACGGGTACCCTCTAGCTGGTATGCCGCAGGAGGCGCTGCCGCCTTCCGGATGCTCAGGCCTGCACTCCTACACCGTGAAGGCTCTGATCCTTGGCACTAGTGTGAGTATAGATGTTCTCATGCGAGGCAAGGCCTTTTATATAAAAAGACCAGAAATCTGCAAGGGGCAGCACAGTTGGTCGAAGCACAGCAGCATCACGGAGTGCTGGGTTCAGTGCCTTGAAAAAATCAAGGACACGCTAAGGGACGAGAAGGACGCTGTGCCAAATTTGGAGTGAACATATTGCATTTGAACAAACCAACTGGATCGCTTAAAAAGGCCTGCTCCGCAGACCATGCCGCTTTTGGATTTGCATGACGTTTTGAGCAGCATCAATTGTTTGCAAGATTTTTTGAGGTTTGTTGAGTTGCATGACCTTGTGTGTTTGTGCGTTGCATGAGCGTTTGGACCGCAGCCATTTTTATGTGCGCACCCTTTCAGGACTTTGCTGGCAAGCATGCATGTGTATGCAGTTGTTGATGTCACTTGTGCCTTGTGCATGGCGCAGGCCTCCTTGGCAGGAGGGTATAGCTTGATCTCTTTTGCGCAGGCCGCGCCGCGTCGAAGGTTGCCAGATCTTCTTGTGCATGGCCAGGACTGATCCTTCAGGAAGTTTCTTTGTGAAGGCCATCCTCCTTGGCAGGAGGAATTCAATGTTGAAGTGCAGTTGCCGCGCATGCATGCGTGCCCTGACTTAGTCTGCAGGTGATGATGCCAGCATCTGCCGGCCCAAAGTCTCCTTGGAGGAGACAGGGTTGCGCACGAGCTCTTTGTTAACTCATTGCTTTGTTCTGAGATGCTTTGGCCATGTTGCTTGCATGACAAATGTGCGCTTGTTGGCAGATATGTTTGAGCTCAAGTGGCTATGATGACAGGCATGTCAGCACATGATTGCATGATATGGTCACAGTCAGGCAGCTTGCATAATCATGGCTGGCAGTAGCAAGAGCGGCTATGGCAAAGAGTGGAGCAAAGAGTGGAAAGGCCCGATCCGGGCTTGGAAGGGGTCTGATTGGGGCAACGAGGCCTTGCTAGACCTCAGGTTTTGCAAGGCTTGCAAGACGAAATCGTATCTCAGAGGATCGCTATGCGCGAATTTGTTGTGCAGCCAGTACTACATGCACCAACAGCCATCCTTGGCAATGTGGAAGAAAGGAGTGAGTGAAGAATGTTGGTCGCCGCAGTCCTGGCGTCAGAGCGGATTCAGTGATGCGGTTTACCAGAGGCACCTCACAGAGGAGTGGGCCCAGATGGAGGAGGAAGAGCACGAAGATTCGGACGAGATGGAAAAAGTCGTCATCGAAGAGGTGGCCAGCAGTGAGGAAGAGACCGCTGCTTGGAAGAAGCAGCAAGAGGTGCCTGCGGAGGAAGGTGATGCGGCCCGGGCAGGGTACCAGTGGGCAGTGAAGGAAAACTCGCTCGGAGGTGAGATGTCCACAAACTCTCCACCTGGCGGCGGGTCACTTTCCCAGAACTTTGCCCAGAAGTTGAAAAAAGCCTGTTGAACGTCTGTGGTTTGCAGATGCCATCTGTGGCACTGAACCTCGATAGTCGGGTCCACATGGCCCGGTGCAACAAAGATTCCTTTCTGCTGATTGTGCCATCGCATGTCTTTCGGCGGCGCAAGATGATGCAAATGGTGGCGTTCCTGCTTTTCTATCTGGTACATGGGCGGTCCTTTTGTTACGATTCGGGTCCTGCGTGCACGGATGGTTTCCTGCACTTTCGCTTTGTTGAGAAAAGGATTTGACTGGGGTTTCGACTGCTTATGCGCCAAGCTGTTGCCCTGGTTTTTCCATGAAGCACGGAGTTCATGAGACCATCTTTCAAGGTTTCGTTTTTTATCCTGACTACACAAGTCATTTACCCTGGTCTTGGTTTTCTCCAAAAGGGTTCCTATCAGCTCAAGAGTTGGGTAAACCGGTAGTTCACACTCCGCCCAAGTCTGGAAATCTGGGATGAAGCCCTTGGCCCTACACGCTGCACTCTCAATGACAACGTTGAGAATTGTTTCATGCTTGGCTAACATTCTCTGGATGCTCTCGAGTCTGCGGACCTGACGAGTGCATTGCTTGGCCATGACACTCGTGCCACCCGAAGGTGGAGCAAAGTCACCACTTCGTGCAAATTTTGGCTCACATTTTAGCGGGCAGAACTTATACACTGGGGCTTTACCTCTTCCCTTCTGCGAGGGTTTTAAGCCGGCCTGTTCATTTCTCACCAGGCATGCGTTAATGGCCGATTCCGCGGCGGCAGACCATTGTTCAAGACTGACGTGTCCTGGGCTTTGTGTGTCAAGATCTGCTGCACACATCACATCAACGAAGCACTCATCATGCTCTTCTGGCAGGATTGCTGCGATCTGGGGTGCCGTGAGCGGCTTGGGGACCTTCCACACCTTTGTGTACCTAGGAATGTCTTCAATCTGAAAGGTCACCGTGATCGGTTTGTGTTGGGGAAAATGGAATCCCGAATGCACCTGGATTTGGACAATGGAACTGCCAAGCTCGGGGGAAACCAAGAGAGAATCGTTTCTAGTTTCCTCTTTGTAGGTCGGGATGGTTCCTGTTCCAAGGATCTCTTCTGCGTGTCGATGCGCCTCTATCCAACCCTTGGCCTGCAGGGCCGGCCAAATACACATGTCTTCTGGCGATTGGTTGAAGTCACCTGCAATTATTGCCGGTCCTCCCCATTCCGAGATTCGCGCAATTGCTCTTTGGAGAAGGGCATCCGAAGCGTCCTTTTTGTAGAGGAAAAAGTTTTCATCCCTAGCGTGCAGGTACAGTGTCAGCACCAATACCTGAGTGACGCCAATCTTAACGATGGTTTCAAGGTATCTGGTGCTTTGCCATTCCTCAAGGGAGCGTTGGCACTCTGGCACCCTTGAAGCACGGTGCGTGAGGATTCCAACACCCCCATAAAGAGGTCTGGATTTTGCACTCGGGTCTAACTTGCTGGATGCACATGGCGCACTGGCAAAGAAGTTTAGCTTCTGCTTGTCGGCTTGTTTCGTGGTTTGTTTGATCGCTCGTTCGTCAGCTGATGTCTCTGCTACGCATACAATGCCCGGCATTTCTTGAAAAAGTTCGAACACCTCGTCCGAGCTTTTCCTGAGTTTGGTAATGTTGACGAGGGAAACGTGCATGAGACCTGGGTCTTGTGTTGGTCCTGGGTTCGAGGCTTCACCAATCCTTCCCACCTTGGCCCACGGGCACCAGGAAATTATCTGCCAGCCTTCATCTGCCTGGAAATGCTGATCATAGAACATGGTGAAAGAAAAGCATCCCTTGCCCTTGAGGCGTCCGATCTGAATCCGATCCATGTTTATAAACTGGAATACATGGCAATGCGGAAAATCCTGCACCTGAGAGGCAAAGGGGCATTGACAGTTCTGATTTTGACATTGCAAATGAAAAGACACGGTGGTCTCGCTGTACCAAAAGGATCTCCCCTTTCGCCTATCCGGCTGGCGGTTGGCTTTCGGAATCGCAATGGTGCTGCAAAACACATGTGGGGAGTGGTAAAAATTGTTGTCCGAGGGGAAATGAAGTGTGCATTCCTTGCGCAAACAAGGGTTTTCATCCCCGCCGAACTCTGTGACACTTCCTGAAAGCAGAGACTTCTCCCCTGCTTGTAAATGGTAAGGTCCTGCTCCATAGATTGCCTGAAGCAAAAATCCAGTGCAAGTTTCGTATACTTCCGAAGAAGAAATGTAATGCACAAAAAACCCAAGTTGGCTGTGCAACTTCGGTGTTGAGAGGGCAAAGTTGGAAATATGTCCTTCTCCTGCAGGCGAAAAACATGTCTCACCGAGTGGGTCATGCCGTCCTGCTAAAATGTAACTGCTGGAGCTGACGGAAATACCCCATCTCCATTGCTCCAGTGTAATTCTGACATGGCGAAAGTTGGGTCCTGAAAAGCCGCCCAAAAATTGTATCCCCGGATTCAAGTTATTCAAGCAATCCTTCCCGTACAATCTGGGTTCAGCATGAGTACGCGTTCGCGCTTCAGTCATCTTCCATGTCATCCCGCAGCTTTGCACGCTTAGGGTTGGACTGCTCTGTGTGGTGTCCTGCCGGGATGGTTCCTCGCAGAAGTTGCTCCATGCTCTGCATGAGCAGGCTTGTCTGTTCTTGCATCTTCTGATCCAGAGTTTTACTGAACGTGTCCTTGACGTCCCGGATGTCCTTCTGGATCTGTGTGGTCTTCTGGTCCTGTACGTCTGACTTCGCCTGTAGCTGGCGGACTGCATTCTTGAGCTCATTGACTTCGGTCTGCACCGTGCTGATCTGCTTCTGATGTCCTGGCCCTTTCCTTTTCCATCCCCTTTGCCTGGACCAAAGGCACGTACCGGATTCGGAGGTGCTTGTCTGTTGGGCAGCAGCTGGAAGAGCACATTGTTTCCGTTGATACTGAACTGCGTTTCCTGAAGGTTCTCCTCAGTGTCGATTCTCCAGTTTCGACCTGATTTTCGCAGAGGTCGTCCTTTGATACCTGTAAGAAATTTCGCGATTGCTTCCTGGGTAGCCGAACTGGGGGCCCCCAGCAGGATCCATTTGTAATTGGCAATGATCTTCTCCGGCAAGGGTCGGTTTGGGTAGAAAAGGGCATGTGCTTTCTTGAACTGCGCATCTTCCAGTCGTATCCCTTGGCCCGTCCTTCCTCTGACCAAACCATGATGTTCCGGGATTTTCGAAATGACATCTGACGCTGGTGTGTCTTTGGGGATCCACATGATCCGAAAATCCTGCTGCAACTGCATATCCTGGTCTTTGTCCGGCTTTGTCTCGACGTAGAAAGGGGGAAAGGTGAAGCCACTTTTGTCCAATGGTCGCACCGCCGATGTGGCTTTGACCTTGAGCCAAATCCGAAAAGAGGCTGCATCGCTTGGGTGGATGGGGTGGTTGTTCTTCCGCCAGGATCGTCCCCAAACCTCGTATATCCCATCCGCTTCAATGGACAATGTGTCAATAACCAGTTTCGCCGGGCCTGCGACCAAATCCATCCAGTCCGCCTTCTTTTCTTGCCATTCATCACGAAAAGCTGTTACCGCCAAGGTGTTGCAGACCTCCAATGTGATCTGCATATCTTTGACCTGACCTTGCGTGATTTTCTTCGTCCCGAATTGGATCAGCGAGGGTGTGGACTTCAATTCTGTCTTTCTGAGGCGATGAACTTCGGGCCGAGGGGGGGCGGTGAACTAGGGGGGCGATGAACTCGAGGCCGAGGGGGGCGATGAACTCGAGGCCGAGGGGGGCGATGAACTCGAGGCAAAGGGGGGCGATGAACTCGAGGCGGGGGCCCCCTTTCGATGAAATTCGGGGAAGGCTGCGAGGGAGGCGATGAACTCGATTCTGTGCGGACTACAAGCCCCTTTCTCGCATCGGCCGAAACGCTCTAAAACGCACTCTCGCGGCCTTTCGCGCTTCTGCCCAAAAAAGTGCCGTAACTCGCCCCCAACCCCGAAAAAAATAAATGGTCCCTATAGGCCCCCTTTACAAACTACTACTACAAGACTGTTACTTGCGAGGATTTTGCAAAGACGGCGTTGAGGATTGGCAAGGGTTCCGGGCCAGGCGCGCACGGCTCGATCTTCGCTTTCTTTGGCTGGCTGACCTCCTCGCCTTGTCCCGCTCTTGACCAGCCGCCGTTGCGCCGGATTAGCTGATTGGTAGAAAGCGCCGCAACGCATCTCCATGTGAACCATTGTATGAAATGGTTCCATGAGGAAATTCCCGACTATGTCGCAGGTCCACTTGCTGCAGTCACGCGATGCTGAAAAGCCGGAAGAGACACAGCGTGCTACGTGCCTAGCTTTTTTTTGTGCCAGCAACAAAACTTGGCGCTCCGAATATATCACTCGCGGCACGGTGGGGTTGAAATACATTGTTGCTGTCGCGCAAGTACATGGTTGCAGCTGAGTGTTGTTTTTACATACTGGACAGCCCTGGGCGAGCTTTGCGTTTGCAGGTTTGGCAGGGTGCTACCGATGATCATGGTTGCGCAAGACCAACACATTTGAACAATCACATGACCCAAACAAAAGGCACAACATTGTGTATGTCAAGAGTTTTGAACACTTGAATAGATACGGCGGCTGGCAATTGTTTTGTGGAAAAAATGCAACTGCTGGCGTGCAGCCCCCATGAATTGCATTGCAAACAAAGCACATCAGCAAACATGGTTGGTTTGAGTGGCAATTTCTATATTGAATTCAAACTGCCCATGGACCTAGAAGCTGTTGGGGTCGGATTGTGCCAACTTGAATTCCCCTTTTGCCTTTTGCGGATGCTCAACATGTCTGACTTGTGCTTGGAATCATTTGTCCTTGTGTTTCGGAATGCACCGGTACCTCGCCTCCGTGCAGCAGATGTGACTCAAACCCTGACACCATCTTTGTGTAGGTGTGTTGACATGAATCATTTACTTAAAACCAACAAGTGGGTCGAACAGACATTTTCGGCAAACTAATATGTATGCAACGTAACACGTTGTTTTGTTTGAGGCCAGATGCTCCGTTTTCGCAAACATGGAATTGCTTCAACGGCAGTATTCGCTGTGCAGGACTTATTCACAAGCCTTGTTGCTTTTGAGTGTACCTTGACGTGTTCTTACATGTTCGGAGTTGCTGAGTTGTTGGACAGGTGCTCCAGTTGCTGCCCTTGACGCTGGTTTTTCCCGCTCGCAAATTCCTTGCTGCAAGGCGCAGTGTCATCCACGACCGCTCAGAGGTGGTCCTAAACTCTGACGGGGTGCCTGAGGAATGGGAAGACATCGCTGAATCTCAGCACGACCCCAACGTTTGGGAGGAAGATGGAGGAGTGCTGGGGAAAGGTGCATTTGGAATTGTGGCACGCGGCATCAACAAAAAGACCGGCGAACTGGTTGCAATAAAGCGGATCTCTCCCAGCCACAGGCTGGCAGTGGCCACTGCCAAAAATGAGGTGGAAGCTGCGAACAGTCTTGGGGAACATCCGAATATCGTTCAAATGAAAGCTTACTTCTTGGCCCCTCCCAATGGATCGCATGCCCGAGATGTGGTGATTGTGTACCGCTTGGCTTTGGGAGGTGACCTGCAAACGTGGATCAATCAGCAGCATGGCAACTCTTTCAGCGTTGATTTTAACAAACCCAAGTTGACGGACGAGGCACTTCGCATTATGCGTCAGCTCACGGCCGCCTTGCAACACATCCACTCCATGAATATCCAGCACCGTGACTTAAAACCACCCAACATACTGCTTAGCGCTGGATGCACAGCGTTGATTGCCGACTTTGGCATTTCCTTGGTGAATCGCAGCTCTGCACGTTTGCAGGGTCATGCTGCACTGGGGGATTTCTACTTTATCGATGTGGATTCTTTAGTGACCAAAGAGCTGCCCTACACATTGGACGATGACATCTACAGTCTGGGCGAGGTCTTTGTGCGGATTCTCTATGGGCGATATGCCACCGGGGTGGATCTGCGCCGCTTCGTTGAGGAATGCTCTTCGAATTCGGTGCCGCCGGTGCTGCAGGCGCTCAAGCAGATGCTGGAGGGTCGGGAGAGCCGCTGCAGCCTAGAGCAGGTGGCCCAGATCCTGGACCAGCTGCGCTTCGTGCCCAAGCCCTCAGAGCCCCGGCCCATGGTCATGAGCATGTTTTTGGGGATCGGCTCGGTGGCCACAGTGAGCGCCGTCATGGACCACCTGAAAAAGAAGAAGTTCCGGAAGCAGGACATGTCGGTGTTCTCCAAGAAGTCGAAGCTCCAGGCCAGCTTCTGTGTAGCGCAGACTCAGGGAACCAGGCCTTCGCTGCAAGACTACTACTGCCACGCGCGCATCCCCTGGAACGTTCACGCGGGCGCACGGTCCTGGAGGCTTCTGGGCATGTTCGATGGCCACGGAGGCCGGGACTGTGCCAAGTTCGCAGCGCAGTCGCTGCCCCACGAGGTTCGACGGATGCTTCGAGAGGTAGAAGATGAAGCACATGAGGTGGACGGAGTGCATTTGTGGCGCATGGCTGCCGCGGCCTTGCAGAAGGCTCTTGAAAGCCTGGATAGGTTATACATCAAATTCCGAGAGAAGAAAAACAACATGGACCTTTGTGGCACTACTGCCTCTGTTGCCTTGCTCTCTCCGGATGGTCTACATGCAGCGGTCTGCAACATCGGCGATTCTCGCACCGCCTTGGTGGGCGATTGGAAGTTGCTGGAGCACAGTGGCAACGCTCCGCGACAGGTCCCTGGCCTCATCCTCAGCCACGCGCACCGCGTCAGCGACCCCTCGGAAATGGCCCGAATTGACGCGGCAGGTGGCTTCGTGGAGTACGGTGCCAGCGGGCACCGGGTGAACGGCGTGCTGGGCGTGTCCCGCGCCATTGGCTATTGCGGGATACGCGACTTTGCAGATTTGGTGCCTTCGCTTTCTGACAGCTTGATTGTGGAAAGGGACGGTGAGAGCAGAGCGCACCATGTCTGCAAGTGTTCGTGCACATCAAGGGCAGTAATAGCGTGTCCTCAAACAATGGTTTCTTTTGCAGTCGAAGGTCTTTTTGTTTTGACTGTTGCTATTTCAAGCAACCCAGTGTATGCAGTACCCGAGTACATTTTTGCTGACATCAGGCTGGTTGCGGTGGGCAGTGATGGACTGTTCAAGACCTGCGACGAAAGCGAGGCATGCACTGCCTTTCAGAGTGCTCGTGCTTGTTCACTGAACGGAGGCAGACTCTGTGTATCTGAACCTTTCCGACGTGGAAGGCTTCTTGGCCAGCCATTGGTGGAGGGATTTGCTTGTCCTGGAGTCAGTCAAGTGCAAGTTTGTTGTTTTTGATCGCGATGTTGCCTTAGCTCCGCAGGCTATGACTCCCTGGAGCAAAAATTGGCAGATACATTGGACACAGCTGGTGGAGGGGTGGCTTCGGACAACAAGGCGCGCAATGAGCTGCGGGTAACCGGTGGGTGCACTGGGCGCTGTTTGGGAGAGAGTCGTGCGGGGAAACAAAGAGCTAGTTTCACGCCTCAAGCACCTGCGCTTGCTTGTCCTTGACGCTTTTGAGAAGTCGAATCCTTCAAATAGGGGCGGAAGGACATGATCAAGTATGTTGCTTCTCCTTGAGCTCCTTGCCTTGGCAGAATTCATTCTCTCTGACAAGACAAGGAGACATGGTGCATGTCAATGGGATTCCTGAACGGCATTGCTCTTGCGCAGGACAACGCAACTCTCCTGGCCTGCGCTTTGCCTGGCTCAGCCGTGTAAGTGAACAAAATATGCCTTTTAAGAATTCCGGGCGGAGACCAGCCGATGCATAGAGGATGATGAGAGAATCATATGAACGTGTTTATCATTTGACGGAACAACATCCAAATATGTTTCATCTATTATAGACAGTATATTTTCAGGGAGTTGCGCCTTGAGACGTGCCTTGCGTCGATTTGGCTGTGCTTGCGGCTCCAGAGCAATGGGGAGAGGGTCACTTGAGGCCAGACCTGGTGCAATGTCCAACACTGAAAGGTTCATTTACCCAACTCGATTTGTTTGCGGTTTTGACAATCGAGAGCAACAACGGCATCGTTCACAGTAAGCAACGTAAAAGCGGTCGAGGTACGTCGTCTCCGGAAAGTCTCACTAATCACAGAAGGTGGTTCATCAACAGCGAGCACTCAGGGCCCGCCCAAGCTTCGGGGCGATGATGCCAAAGGGTGCAGGCTGCCTGGCAAAAAGCTGAATCAAGACTAGTTCCCATCTGACAGGCCATATCCGGATGCACAAGCCATGTTGCCGCAAGGAATGTGGAAGCCTCCCTGGCAACAGACCCCTTGATTCGTCCGCGCATCCCAAGGTTCTTACTTTGGGTATGGGAGCACACCGGACGCTGGTTATGGAGGCTGGCGTCAATTTCAAATAGGACGGATCACGTGTACTATGCGTGGCATCGATGACAGGCTATGGCGAGATGCCGCAAGCCTGGCAGACGGAGGGTGACGGGCAGGCAGGTGCCAGAGTTTCCCAGCTGACCTGGAAGCAAGGTGCATCGGTCCGACCACCAAACATGTTTGTATTCACATACGTGCAGAAAGACGACTGGAAGGCTGTTACTTGAGTTGTGGGCGCTGATTTGGCTCCAGGTCTGAGTGCTAAAACAAGGTGTACACAGAGCTTTAGGAGAAGCATGATGAGCTGCAAGGCACAAGCCAGTTCTGGACTTGTCATTGTTCTGGTGCTTTAGAACTCCTAGCTGCGCCCCACTGCAGCATGGCAAGCAACCATAAGTTGGTTTGCGCAAGAGCCGCAAGGCAACAGTTCGGCGATGCTTTCCAGAAGGCAGTCAAAGATTATAGATGGGCCAGACAGTCCGCCGCAATTTTGAAGGGCTTGGACGCATATCTTCCAGATGGTCTGTCATTTCTGCCGCTTTCCTATCTTTTTGACGACGAAGTTGCTGGATTTGCGTGGGAGGGAGCCGTAGTCAAGGCCAACGCTGATGCTGGTGATCGACAAACAAACTTTCGGGTGATGGCAAGGACTCGTCCTCTGCAAGAGCAAGAGAAAGACGCAAATCTTTACGAGTCCGTGAGCGCGGAGAGCGAGAATAACGCTATCATCGTCCACGACGGCCGAGTCCATCGCGATGGCCGCACTATCTACACGCACCACTCGCGCTTCTGCCTGGATGGTGTCTTCCCAGAGACTTGGTAAGTTGACACCGCGTCCGAGGCTGTTTTTGCTCTCTTTCCAATGTGCCCTTGTTGGCCCTGGTCAGACGTTGCTCTCTTGGGCAAATCCACCAAGGAAAGCGCGGATAACCAGCGGGTCTTCAAGGAAGCCGCGGAGCCTTTGCTGGACAGTGCGCTCAAGGAGGGTGGCCGGTCCACCCTGATGTTCTTCGGGCAGACCGGGACTGGGAAGACCTACACGGCCAGGGGGGTGCTGGACATCATAACGCAGCAAATCTTCTCTGACCCAGGCATGTGGCCGCGTTGCAAGAGATGCTGTGTTTTTTGCTGATTTGTGGCACTTCCTATTTGAAGGCTCAGTCTTGCACATTCGCACTTGTGGATCATCAAGGTTTGTTGGTGTCCGCATCTTCCTTGCAGGTGATTTCCTGAGCACATGAGTGTCATTTGGTCTCATTGGAACGTTGTTGAGAGACAACCAAAGAGCATGTTCTCACCGGGCCTGGAAAGCGGCAATGCACTGATTTGGGTTCCAAACTACTTGGGATCAGCAATAGCCCGGACCAGGCACCACCGTGGGGATGTGCTGCTACGAGATGGCTGGCACGCGGGGTGGCCGCGAGGCCTTCTTCGACCTGCTGGCAGACCGAGCCCAGGCCGAAAGTGGGGCCCGTGTCTTCGGCTCCACCGAATCACACTGTGCCAGTCGGTCGGGAAAACTCTCTTACTGCAATTGCAAACGCGCAAGGTGAAGTGCCTCACCGGCGAGGATGGGAATGTGCATGTGCGGGGCGCGCGGCAGGTGGTGTGCCGCAGCGCCGAGGCGCTGTCGGAGGCCATCGCCGCCGCCTTCGCCTGGCGCTCCTCCGAGTGCACGGAGCGGAACGCCGCGTCCTCGCGGTCCCACTGCATCCTGGAGCTCCACTTCCGCGAAGCCGACCCGGAGGAGCCGAAGGAGCCGAAGGAGCCGAAGGAGCCGAAGGAGCCGAAGGAGCCGAAGGAGGCGAAGGAGGGCGGATGCCTACGCATCGTGGACCTTGCGGGATCTGAGAGGAACTTTGAGACGCAGATGCACAGCAAGTCTATGGCGGAGAGAGGAGGGCTGATCAACTACTCCCTCCTGGCGCTCAAGGAGTGTGCCCGAGTCATGCACAAGCAGAAGCAGGAGGAGGAGTGCTTTGTTCCCTTTCGATCCTCCCGCCTAACCCATTTGTTGAAGAGCTCCTTTGTGGATGAATCTCACCGCACCATAGTCGTTGCAACGCTCTCGCCCTCCCCCACGGACGTGGAGCACTCCCTGAACACCCTTCAGCATGTGGCGATGATGCGCACTGCCCGGGCCTGGGAGGAGTCGCGGAAGTTTGAGGACTGCGCGATTTTCTCAGATGAATGCGTTTGATTGTTTGATGGCTTCCCACCCCTTTCTGAATTGATGGCTTGCACCGGTGCTTTGGTGGTTTGCCTTCTTGGCGGCACTTTGCAAACCACTTGTCAAAGGCCAGAAGGAATTCGCTCAGATCGATTCTGCAGTCTACCCAAATGAGTTTCTTTTGGGAGAGAACTTGCCAGGCGAAAGTATTTCCTTTCGATGTGACAAGGGCTCGCATGGCCGTGTCTTTTGGTACCCATGTGGATTTTAAGGAAGCCAAAGAGACCATGTTTTTTGGGACACAGCAGAGCCCCCGTTGGAGTCCAACCCACGCTGTTGGATGGACATGGATAGGAACCCTATGAATAAACTCATATAAACCCTGTGACATAAAACCGAAGCCAGCCGAAGCCTCACTGCTGCGAAGCGGATTTCGTCTCTCGGAGGACGCCGATGCCGACGCGGACGCCTCGGGCTTCGGGGTGGTGCATGGCCGGGGCAGGGCCTTGCACTCGAAGCTGCAGGTGCGTGCCGAGCAAAATGCCTGTTACTATAATATATATATATATATATATAATATATAGAATATTCCACTGGTTTGGAATATACAATGTGTCAAATGCACGACATGGTCCTTTTTTTTCAGGGAACACACGATTTTGGAAGTCCTCAATTTTTAGAAACACCCTTGTAGACACTCGCTCCACGTTTCTTTCGACAAAGCCCACATTTGAGCAGAAAGGATGTTGCAGTTGTGTGAAACTTTGGCCCAAGCGCTGCCGACGAGTGACGAGTCTCCTTACTTCTGTCGGGGCTGGTAAAAGCTTCGTCAAGCCAAACAAATTCATTTGCCCGGAGTTTACTGACTGCAGCTGCAGTTGTTTGCAAGTGGTTTCTGAAGTGCGCTAAACTAACCAAGGGATCACCGCACCGCTGCAACTAACCCCAACAATTCAGCCTAGTTAAGCATCCTAAGCAGATCCTAAACCAACCTTGCAACCACACCAAGGGGATGCCGTCTAGGCTCCATTGGGCTATCTATTTGTAAAAACCACAAATCTGAAGTTCAGTGTCCGATTGCCAGGATGCAAGAAAGGGTCAGCTGAGTCTTCACGCCTTCCAGATGAAGACGCAAGTGGGCGGCCCCTTGTCTGTATCGAGCAGCGAATTCATGCATGTTACCTCTAGTTTCTGCTTCTCAACTTCAGCTGTTTGCGTTGCAGGGGCGAAGTGGGGGAGGTTGAGTGAGGGCGTTGGAGGGTTGAGGGCGGGAATGGGGGTTAAACGGGTGGAGCAGGGTGGTGGTGAGCGTTGAGGCGTGGAGGGGCTTGGACCCGTCACAGCCGAGGCACCATCATGAAGAAGTACGAGGCCGAGGCTGCGAAGGTCGAGACCTTCATCGACGCCCGGTATCACCGGGAGATGAAGGCGTGGGATGGAGGCATCAGCTTTTATGAGGCGGAGGAAGGAGGAAGGGCTGCTTCTTGACATTGCTTTTTGGCGTATGGGAAAGGTAGGACAATGACTGACACAAGGCGGCTGCGGCACACAGACCCTAAGCAGTTTCAAGGGCCGGTGTAAACGGTGCCATTGGCAGGTGAAGGTAGCAGAGGACCTTTGGGTTCTGCGGGACGCCGACATGGAGGCCACCCAGGCAGGCCATTTGGAGCGCCATCTTTGTGTGACTCTTAGATTCTTTTTAGTCATGGCAGGGTGCACAAGACCAGTGCAGCGCGATCTCCGGTTCATCAAAATTGTTTTTGAGGACATGGACTGCAGGAACACACACGTGTCACCAGAAACACCTGGGGCAGAGACTTGTGTCGTTAGCGGATTGATCCTTCGTTTGTGTTGCTGGGGCCCAATATCAAAGTCAGCCCCCAACCAACTAAGTCTCACCTCTCTGCGTCTATGCTCCCTTGTTTCAGAATGGGACACATCGGCAGCGAGGAGCAGCGAGCTAAGATTTGTAGTCGGGGCTGGGGTACTCTTTGGCTGCCGCGCGCACGCGGAAAGCGCCAGGTACTGTCTGATTGGCGGCAGGAGCAGTGGGAGGCCTCCAAGAGCCAGGACCTGGCGCGGTGGGATGGGCCCAAGCTGCAGAGCTGGGTGCGGAACCTGGAGCTGCCAGGACTGGGACAAGTCTTGGGCCACAAGTCTTGGGCTTCTGTTTGTTCATGCGGCGCACCGTTTTTTTTTGTTGGTCAACTTGTCCTCAGCTGTGGTAGCTGTCCCTACTCCTTTTTTCCATCGCGGATTTGCAAAGCACCGCATCTCCAAAAGCTTCCCTTGCCTCCTTTGTAGGGGCTTGTCTCCAGCATCAGCCTCTGAAACTCTGTTTGCTCCCACAGTGCAACACATTTCCCATGCCGTTGTCTGTCGGCAGTCTTTTTCGCTGTGGCAATACGCTCATCCCCGCGTTAGGAGAGGTGAAGATCCCCGGTGCCATGACCGGCGCGCAGCTGCTGCGCCTGGGAAGCCTGCGGCTCCGCGCCCTGTGCTCCGACGCCGAGACCGCGGAGCGGCTGTCTGCGGCGCTGGACGCGGCGAAGAAGGCCACGAGAAATGGAACACGGGGCGATCAGGTTTTGGATGGATTTTGAAGAAGGGTTTTGGATCCTGTGAGGTCCAAGGGGGTTTAGGGACTTGGGGGTGACGAGAAACGTGCGATTCAAACAACGCCACAAAGATGTTCGACCGAACGACCATAGGCTGGCCAATTTGATTTTCAATCATTTGGTGTCTCAACATGTTTCAGGAAGCTACACAGTAACTTGGGCAATGCTCGCTGTGCTGTTTGACCGGAGGAGACGCAGCGGCGCGCGGCGGCTCATCGCAGTGCCAACGCGCGCATGACGGCGCTGGGGAACCACAAGGCAGGGCTTTGCCCTCGCAACTTGTGGAGTCTGTCTGACATTTGATACTTCTCAAAAGACGTGTGGCACCGCATGTTCGGCGGCTATTTTTTGCCTGGTTCTTGAGTTGCACTCCCCATCGCTGAGCAAGGAGGCAGTCCATAGCTCCTCTGTTCTGTATGATTTTCACTCTGCAATTCCCAGAAATGATGTTGTTGGGGCTGTCATGGTTTTGCGTTCAAGCATTTTTACGACGGCTGCTTGAAATTGTGCCTATACTGTACGCGCCCTTTGCGTTCGAAGGTCCATGCAGCAGCGGAAGAGACGCATTTGGAGCGGCCTTGATTGGCCTGGACTTGGTACAAGCGCCCTTCCCTCCAGGGTTAGGTGAGCTGAGCGTCTTTCGCCCAGTGAGCGAGCCTGTCAGGCCGAATTCAGCTGTGTAGGCCCATTGGGCTTCGAAGCTCGCCTGTGCAGTTGCCAAAGCTTCGACTGACCTTGTGCTGCACTGCACGAATCCCGCGCTGGATGCCTTGAAGAAAGTTACGTTCTGGCCCGGCTGATGGCATTAGGTGAGGGCCGGCACTCGTGAGGACTATGAGGTGGACTGGCAGGAAATGAGACAGGTCCCAGCCTCGGTCGACCTGTCAGTCTGGAAGCAGAGCTTGGAGCGAACAGAACATGGGGTGCCGAGTCAGGTCTTGGCTTTCGTCGGGTTTTGTCGAGGGAGAGTCGAGTGGGGTGCAAGGCGGAGTGGCTTCAATACATCCAGAGCCAGTACTTCAGCAGGCGCTGTTTATCTAGATTTGCGACATGGAGGGGGCCGCGGGGCCCTCATTGGTGCAAACAACAGAAATGGTGCAAGTATCCCTTGTAATAAAGAATTTCGCACGACCAGCAGACCTTCTTTGCACCCTTAGCAAAGGATTTTTAAAGACGCTTCAGTGCAGCCCAACGGACATGAACTGGTGCAGGTGGAGTGTCGACAAGCATGACGAACCTCGGCGCTCATTTCATGCTCACTTCATGTCGTGTGAGCGTTGTATGCGAAGGCCCCTGGAGCTCAGACATGTCACGTGCAGAAACTGCGGTGTTTCAGACTTTCAGTGGTACATTTGGTGTTGAAATGACTCCCATCAGCTCAGGAGTGGCAAGCCTACCAGAGCAGGCTGAACTCTGCACAGATGGGAGCGGAGGCGGCGCAGGACCCAAGTGGAAGCTGGTGAGGGACCTGGCAGGATGTGACAGCTGCAAACACTGTGGGTTTTGGGCAACCTTGGACGGATAATTTGACCGGTACCTCGGCCAGGAGGGCTCGCAGGCTTCAGCGTGCCGTCCCGCCCTGCGCAGGGATGTGGGACCGGGATATGGTATGATATTTTTGTGAGGTTTGGGCATCAGAGCAGTTTCCAACTTGAGGCGTGCGATTTGAATATCACACTTCGTTCCAACATATGGGCAAACACGCTGCTTGGCGAGGGCTGTGCATTGCGGATCTCAAAGTGTCCTGAAAGGACACGTCAGGTCATTCGAGTCGAGAGCAGCGCTTTTCTGACGTGCTGCAAAGCTTTCAACAGTTTTCTGGGGTGACGGTCACCGCTGCACGATGCTTGGACTTCCGCCCGCCGCTTGGCTCGTCAATGGAGATTGTTCAACTAGCCCGCGCAGCAAAGATTCAAGCATCTCTTGTCAAGAACTCCTCTAAGTCTCTAGGTGCCAGCCAAGACAAGGATGCTCAGAATATCCATGAGCTGTTTCCGCGGGCCCGCAGCTGAAACAGACTAAGGGGACCTGCCATGACCTGCCCTTTTCATCTCGAGCCTCTCATAGACAAATTTCGTCATGCCATGGGACACCAGAGGGAAGGAGTGTCGAGTTGTTGGTGGCATGTTTCGGTTTCCTCGTGGCCCTTGCAGAAGGTCGCCGAAGACAGGGCCGCCCTCCGTTTTATACTCATTCTATCTGGTGTGCTGGTGTAAGTGCTGGTTGGTGCTGGCTTAATCTGGGGGAGTGCAAGTTTTCCTGCACTTAATGCTAACTGATTGGGCTTTTGTCTTAGCGCGGCCTGTTTGCAGCGTCTTTTGGTGGCTCAAAATCCGTCTCAAAGGGATGTGACGTTGCATGGCTCCTTTGATGCATTGCGCGCCTTTCGTCGAACCACCTAAAAACTCGGAAAGCTTCATTGCAGCTGTTGTACGTCCCCTTTTGCCCAATAGCACTGGCAGATGAGAGTCAGTTTTGACACCGATTTTTTTCCCGAAAGCATGGCGAAGGGTTCTTCCGCTGGGTTCACTTGAGTTGTTCTCATGAGAGTCATTACAAGGTGTCATTGCAAGGAATCATCATCATAAAAGTCATTGCAAGGAGTCATTGCAAGGAGTCATTGCAAGGAGTCATTGCAAGGAGTCATTGCAAGGAGTCATTGCAAGGAGTCATTGCAAGGAGTCATTGCAAGGAGTCATTGCAAGGAGTCATTGCAAGGAGTCATTGCAAGGAGTCATTGCAAGGAGTCATTGCAAGGAGTCATTGCAAGGAGTCATTGCAAGGAGTCATTGCAAGGAGTCATTGCAAGTCATTGCAAGGAGTCATTGCAAGGAGTCATTGCAAGGAGTCATTGCAAGGAGTCATTGCAAGGAGTCATTGCAAGGAGTCATTGCAAGGAGTCATTGCAAGGAGTCATTGCAAGGAGTCATTGCAAGGAGTCATTGCAAGGAGTCATGGCAAGGATTGCAACTTGCACTTGACTCCTTGCACTTGCAACTTGCACTTGACTCCTTGCACTTGCAACTTGCACTTGACTCCTTGCACTTGCAACTTGCACTTGACTCCATGCACTTGCAACTTGCACTTGACTCCATGCACTTGGCTCCTTGCACTTGGCTCCTTGCAATTGCAACTTGCACTTAACTCCGTGCACTTGCGACTTGCACTTGACTCCATGCACTTGGCTCCTTGCAACTTGCAATGGCTCTCATGACTCCTTGCAATGACTCCTTGCAATGACTCCTTGCAATGACTCCTTGCAATGACTCCTTGCAATGACTCCTTGCAATGACTCCTTGCCATGACTCCTTGCAATGACTCCTTGCAATGACTGCTTGCAATGACTCCTTGAAACAAGCAAGGAGTCAAGTGCAAGTTGCAAGTGCAAGGAGTCAAGTGCAATTGACTTGCGAGGAGTTAAAATCTCTTCTTAGGGCGGCGGGGTAGTGCCGACGACACTACACGAAAATCGACCCTCTGCGGGGATCGGCGTGGTCGAGGTGCAAAAACCCATGGTTTTTTGCGATTTCTAAAGTTCCCGCGCGACCCTCTGCGGGGATCGGCGTGGTCGAGGTGCAAAAACCCATGGTTTTTTGCGATTTCTAACCTGCTCGCGCGACCCTCTGCGGGGATCGGCGTGGTCGAGGTGCAAAAACCCATGGTTTTTTGCGATTTCTAACCTGCTCGCGCGACCCTCTGCGGGGATCGGCGTGGTCGAGGTGCAAAAACCCATGGTTTTTTTTGCGGTGCTCGCGCGACCCTCTGCGGGGATCGGCGTGGTCGAGGTGCAAAAACCCATGGTTTTTTGCGATTTCTGCGGTGCTCGCGCAACCCTCTGCGGGGATCGGCGTGGTCGAGGTGCAAAAACTCGAGGTTTTTTGCGACTTTTGTTGTTCGAACTGGTCCTCGGGAGTTGTCTCGTGGTTCGCGCGCCTGCTCCCGGAACCGGCGGGTCGCGGGTTCGATTCCTCCCTGGTCCGCGGGCGGGCGTCGCAAGATGCAACTTGCATTTTACAGCAACTTGCGCAGAGCAACTTGCGCAGAGCAAGTTGCACAGAGCAACTTGCGCAGACCAACTTGCACCGACCAGTTTGCGCAGAGCGCCTTGCCTAGAGCAACTTGCGCAGAGCAACTTACGCAGAGCAACTTGCACAGAGCAACTTGCACAGAGCAGCTTGCACAGAGCAACTTGCAGGGAGCGCAATTTGCACAGAGCAACTTGCAGGGAGCCACTTGCAGGGACCAACTTGCCGGAGCAACTTGCGCGGAGCAACTTGCGCAGAGCAACTTGCACAGTGCAACTTGCGTAGAGCAACTTGCGCAGACCAACTTGCACCGACCAGTTTGCGCAGAGCACCTTGCCTGGTGCTGTCTCGCGCTTGCTTCACGAAGTGTAGGGAAAAAGAACGCATCCTGCAGCGTTGGGCCGACCTCGCTTGCGATGTTCTGCTTTCGGGCCAACCGTGGTCTAGTTTTTCTTCAGAAGGGAAGCGTTTCTGGAGGTTAGGAGAGGGCCCTTGAATTGGCGTCAGCCCCGGAGCCGCTGTCCAGGTGTTGCCTGATGTAGCAGGAGGATGCCTCAGCATTGCGTGTTGCAAGCAGAATGAGCATGGAGACCGAACTTGCAACACATTCTGTTCGGCTGTATGAGGCGAGGAGTACACTTCCCCGCTTCCAGAGGTGGGATTAGCTCGGTTGTCACAGGTTTTCTTGGGAACAACCCATGCAGAAAGGCCCAACTTTGGTTTGTTGATCGTGTTTTGGCATTGTCCTTCTTTAATTGCCACTCGAAGCAAGGCTTTCGCCACCAGCAGAGTCTTGCGGTGCGCAGGTTCTCGGATCTTCCGGCAAAGGTGCAGGTCTCAGACTGCACTCGCAGAAAGAAAGATTTTGGATGAGAAGTGCCAAGAGTTCGCCAAGCCAAGCAAAGTCCAACGTCCAGTTGCCAGTCCATGACATATTGGCAGCATTCATTTTGAGGCACTTACGTCCTTCCATTTTCTTGCAAGATATTTGATTACCTGGGCCTGCCCATATTTCGCATGGAGACGGCTTCAATGGCAGCTGGTCTTTTTGGCCCACTTTAGGCGGTCCAGGCAAAAGCGAGCGGAGGACTGGGCGGGCGCTTTGTGAACAGTGATCCGAGACGAAACCTGGGGGAATACCTTCAGCATGCCTTCTATGAGGTCTTACGTGCAAGGTTCGCCCTTCATTTCGATACCATTTGTGCCGTCTATTTGTTGCAAGGATTACGCATAGGTATGCTTGCTCGTTGGGATCATGCTCCAGGAAGCTATCTCCACCCCGTCTTCCGGAGCCTAGCAGCCGACAGGCTCGGCATCCGCGTCAACTGTGGTGGGGAGGGCTTGACACCGATTCGGTTTTCCACCACTCAAAGCACTAGGATCGTGCTTGGTTGTCAGAGGCTGTTTGCTTCTGCTAACTTACGTCATCGCGGCCCTATTTGCATCTTGCCTCGGGGAAGCCACCCCTGCCCCAAACGGTGGGCCCCGAATTTCTTGCTCTTCTATCTGGCTAGGCGACCCCGGAGAGGCCTCCCGCGAAGGCGCGGTTTTGGGCATTCTTTCCCGTAGGGTTGCACGAAGTCCGCAAGGACCATGTTTTCTCCTTTCAGGAGACAGATGTTTTTATCTAGCGATTGGTCAATGCACCATTTTGGCTCAAGCCTGTACCCTGGCAACGGATCCTGCTATACCGGCAGTGGACGCTGCTCCGGCGCTTACCTGGGGCTTGCTTTGTTTTTCCAAGCTGCTGCTTGGGTTCTTTCTTTTGTCAAGCCGGGTGGCCAGGTATCGTCCCCGATAAAGGGGGCTGGAGATCCCCCGCAGCTTTCCAAACATACCGTAACATACCCATTTTGCATTAGAACTTGTCGTCTATCCTGTTGCTCTGCGCCCCTGCCTCCAAACCCGTGGGTGCGCCCGTGGGCCCGTGCCGGCGTCGCGGCCCGTCAGATGTTCGTGAGCACGTGTGAGTTCGTGGGCCCGCCACTTTTGGCCCAAGTTTCATGCGCAAGTTTTAAAGTGGTGCTTTTTACATCGCTACTCGCGACTCAGTCCTGCGTATACCCTCCTTTCGAACTATTGATTCGTGTGTGTGTGTGTGTGTGAGCTCTCTGACGACACAAGGCTGCTACACCTCAACGAAGTGATATTCGCAAGGGCGACAAAGTTCGGCCGCCATGTTGCATCATATGAAGTGTTCAAGTGATGGGCGCTTGGCGGTCGTACACTGGCCGGGCCTTCTTTCAGAGAATTGATCGCAGCATGCTTTCGGACACTGGGTACGTCACAATGGACGTGAAGGAGTTCCGCGCGTGTGCGAAATACCGGCGCGCACGGCTCCAAAATCGGCTCGCTACCCACGTTGACCAGGTGGTCAAGGAAGACCTGACGCCGGACGCCGGGTATCATAGCGGCGCATATATGCGGAGGATCACCTCAATTTCTTTCATCAAAGCTTGTAGTGATTGCAGTGGGCCGCAAGTGGTTGTCCCTAGAAGGGCATGAAGTCTACGGCGCGAACACATGCCGTTCTGGCATCTGGCTTTATGTGCGAACAAGGGACCCTCGTCTACGGGAGGGACTCTCCATTGACACGAGCCTCGTAAATGATTGCTGGCCCTAGAGCCGCAAGCCCTTACGGCGTGTGCTGTGTCTAGGTCGACATTTCCTGGGTCTGCTGTGCCTAGACAGCATCCGCATGGAATTGAAAATGGGCACAAGGGGATGTCCGCACCACGCGGCGGAGCTTGATCGGTCTGAACGCAGCTGGTCTCCACCTTCCTCCTGATGCAGCTGTGATGGAACACAGGGAGACGCGGGCACGCTCTTGAACGGCCTGAGCCTGGGCAGTTCCTTACTGGACTTTTCGAAGGTGGTCTACTCGGCTATGCGCCGAGTTTCACTCATGTAGGATAAACGCCAGCTAACTTCAGAATCGCTTCCAATTGTCAGGCTTGAACTGTCTCTTTCTTATTGGTGGGTTTAGGCAAAGCCATGTTTCAAACTCTTCTGCAACAGGGGGTCAATCTCTTCCTGAACTCTTTTGCATCCTCGTCCTCTCTTTCCATGCCCGTTTCCGTTGCATTTCGAGCTCTGTATTGTTGTGCTCTCTTTGGTTGTCTCTGTCTCCGTCTTTTTTTCTTTCTCTTGCTCCGTCTCTTTCTCTCTCTTATTCTCTTTCTCATTCTCTTTCTTTTTCGCTTTTTCATTTGCTTTCTCTTTCTCTTTCCCTCTTGCCTTCGTCAACACCAGAAGCAGTACACCCAAGTCGGGTCCGAACTTGCCAACTCTTCCAAAGTGATCAGTGGTGATTCCTGTTAAGGAGGGGAATAGATACGTTTCAATTTGTCCGCATGGATTTGTGCGGGCACACTGTGTGAACTTGCCTTGTTGCTATGGTGAGTGCAGCATGAGCGAAACTCAACACTAAGAGCATTTTGGTCATCACGGGATAAAGGGCAAACAAATGGCGAACACAGAGCTTGTTGTGCTACGGAACACATTATGCCGCGGAATACATTGTACGACCGCATTGTTCTGGTACACGTCACGATTGATGCAGATGCACCAAGTTCTACTGTATATGCAACAGACTTAATCTGTGTGTGTGTGTGCGAGTATGAGTGCGTGTAAAGATACTGCGGCTGCTTGTTACATGTTGGATTGGCAGATGAGGGCTTTTGCCGGAGCCAGGTCCACTTCTCAGAGGACTTCTCGCAGGATGGCAATCCTGAAAACTTGGATGCAGGCACTGCTAGTCATCAGGACAGCGAGAATGCTAGGTATGTCAGATGCTTTGTCAGGGGGCGACTGATATTCAACCAAAAGGACATGAACGCCCAGTTTTGTTTTGGGGGGGAGGGCAATTCACTCGCTTTTCTTCCGTCGTGAGGCAAGGCAGAGCCGAAGCCTCCTTCGCGCTGGCGGGGATGGGTTTGGGTGGGATTCGTGGTACGGGCGAGGAAATACACATGGAGGCGTGCTGAAGTGCACATCGGTGCCGCAGCACTGCGTTCACACAGGGCATGACAACAGGCTTTTAAACTGTAGACTGAGGATACCTTCGGCTCCGTGTGTATCTTCGCGGTTTGCTTTTCCCACCACATTGATTCAACTGACTTGATGACCCTCTGAACAACTTGTACTGCATGTCAACTTGCTCAAAGTCTGCATCCGACCTTACGAGTGATGTGACCAGGCAGTATCCCTCTCAGCGCAGCCTGGCGGTGTGCCCAGAGCGTGGCGCGAGGAGCCAAAGCAAAGCTAATTTGAAATGACAATTGAAAAGCAAAGTTGTGTTAAAGAAGGATCACTGAGAAAGGAGCGCGGTAATCTCCGGAGGATTTTTTGGGACAACAATAGGAGGTTACAGTCATTTTTCTGTACTGGCCTCCAGGCAGCAGGTATCTATTTGTTGCTGGCCCTCGTCCTGGCAGCTGTGCTCCCAGAGTCGACCTTCGTATTTTTGGGCCGGGCGGTTCTGGTACGGAAGGCTTTCAGCGATTTCGGCTCAGGTTTGGTGCACGATCAAATCCATCAACAGCAAGGGACCAAGCAGCAATTCAGGCTATGGCATACCTGCGTGTGGCTGCGCGTGCCTGCCTGTGCGCCACGGGGGCGCCCACATACTTCGTGCTCGCATGCTTTTTCCTCACAGCAGTTTAGCCACGATGTCAACTGCCAGTTGCCAATGGTAGAAGCAAAGAGCGGCGGCCCAGTTGAAGCCAAAAGTCAAGAGATGCAAACAGCATGCCCGCCATCGAGGGTGCCTGACAAAGATTTAAGAATAGAAGCACAAGGCAACTGAATTTGACATTCCATAGTTCCAGCGACTTGCTGTTCACTGTGATGGAAGTGGTCGCTACCCTTCCCAGGCCAGGGTGCGGGAGAGACAAACGGTCGGATGGGGTCTTGCCTGAACTTGTTGTGATGTGCCAACGGCCTTTTCTTGTTCGAACAAGTCGGTTGCACTATGCCACAGGCACTAGCAAAGCCTTTTGCAATGTAGCCCTCGCGCCACATTGACAACCAGCCTGCTGTTCAAGGGTGTAATGAGTCGGCAACTTGTTTTTGGGGCAGCTTGCTGGGATGTATTCACGGGCAGCATTTGCTTTGCTTGCTTTGCTGATCACCAGGCCGCGATTCGGACGTTGCTTTCGGTCTGCTGAAGATGTTGCGCAGGAGTTTTTTGTAGTTGTCGTCTCGCTTTGTTCTCGCTCTCTCTCTTATTCTCTCTCTCTCTCTCGCTCTCGCTTCGTCTTCCTCTTCCTCTTCCCCTTCCCCTTCCCCTTCCCCTTCCCCTTCCCCTTCCCCTTCCCCTTTCCCTTTCTCTTCCTCTCTTTCTATCTCAGATCTCTCTCTCTCTCTCTCTCTGTCTCTCTCTCTTTTGTTCATCTCTCCCTCTCTCTTGTTCATCTCTCTCTCTCTCTCTCTCTTTTGTTCATCTCTCCCTCTCTCTTGTTCATCTCTCTCTCTCTCTCTTTCATCTCTATATATCTCTCTCTCTCTCTGTTCAGTTCTCTATCTCTTTCTCTCTTTTCAGGTCGTTCTCTATCTGATCTTTCTTTCTTTCTTCCTTCTTTCTTGATTTCTTTCTTTCCTTCCTTCTTGTTTGTTTGCTTGCTTGTTTGTTTGCTTGCTTGCTTGCTTGCTTGCTTGCTTCCTTGCTTCCTTGCTTCCTTGCTTCCTTGCTTCCTTGCTTCCTTGCTTCCTTGCTTCCTTGCTTCCTTGCTTCCTTGCTTTCATTTCTCATTTCATTCCATTCCACTCCGTTCCATTCCGTTCCCTTCTGTTCTACTCCATTGCACTCACTCGTCCGGCCATCCATTCTAATTCGATTCCAAGCCCCATTCCATTTCAATCCATTCCAATCCAGTTCAATGCAATGCATTCCAATCCATTCCAACGCATTCCATTCATGTATTCATCGATCCATCGATCTATCCATCCATCCATGCTGTTGTTCATTTGTTCGTTCGTTTGTTCGTTCGTGCATTCGTTCATTCATCTTTTCGCTCTTCCTTCGTTCGTTCTATTCTCCATTTATTCCTTTATTCCTTCATTCCTTCATCTCTTGCTTCCTTCCTTTCTTCCTTCCTTTCTTCCTTCCTTCCTTCCTTCCCTCCTTCCTTCCTTCCTTCCCCTGCCTTCTTTCTCACGTTTTTTCTTATTCATTCATTCATTCATTCTTTCTTTCTTTCTTTCTTTCCTGCTCATTTTTTTCCCCTCTCTCTTTCTCTCTTTCTCTCTCTCGCTCTCTCCCTTTCTCTCTCTCTCTCTCTCGCTTTCTTGCTCTCTCTCTCTCTCTCTCTTCTTCTTTTTCCTTGGCGTCGTTCTTATAGTTGTGTTTCTCTCTCTTTCTCTCTCTCTCTCTGTGTCTCTGTGTCACTGTCTCTCTCTCCCTCTCTCTCACTCTCGCTCTCCCCATCTCGCAGGATCCGTCGAATTGCCTGCAGGCCCTGCAGGTTGAGGAATGGACATCCTATTCAACAGCGCCTGGCTCAGCTCTCGCCAAAAGGTAACGGTGGCTTTGCTGGAATGTGATTTGGAAGGGTCCTCATTCTTCAATGCTGAACCTTTGCATCCGACAAGGTGTGACCACGACTACGGAGGCAATTGGCAACACAACCGAACCCAGTGAAGCAAGGAACTTGGCCGGGCTTTCTATTCGCTTTTAGCTGCGCACTTTTAGCCTGGGGCAGGGCAAGCGCAGCACCAGGGTTTTGGGGCACTTGGGGCACTTGGGCACTTGTGCATCTTGCTTGCCTGGTAGCTCGGGGCTTACCTGGTGGCTCAGGTACATGTCACTGTCAGCTGCACGGACTTGGTGATTGAGGAGAGCACTGTCAGGAACAATCAGGCCGGCAACCGCTCGGACCGGACAGCTGAGCACGTCTCCCTATCCAATGAAGCAACGGATGGGTGTGGCTGTGCCGATGAAGCACGACTGCACATCTCCATGCCATTCAGAGTCTCAAACTAAATCTGAAGCACTGGCTGCACAAGCTGCCTCGAGATGCTGGTTCTTCTCTGAACAATGCTGGATTGACTTGTTGTTGCATGCAGAGTTGCGAAGTTTTGGCCATAGAGATAAGTTGGGCAGTCTTGAACTGCCTCTGAAGGGAACTTATCTTGCAAGAAGTGCAGAAGTTGGGGAACTCGTTTTCTGAAGCCCAGAAAATTGCCGCAGCATCCAACTGTTTGACTTTTCGCCCAATCAGGTGGAGGGCCTGGTCCTGGCGGTGGCCCGGGGCTCGGTTTTTAAGGCACGAGAAGCGGTTTCCGGCTGTAGGAAAAAGCAACAACATGTGTATATATATATATACATTCTTGTGGATGCCCTTTTCGGGGTTGGTTCATAGCCGAAACAGAGGGACACATTTTTGGGCGTAATGTTTTGACACACATTCAACGGGGGAAGGATGGCGTATGAAAAATGGATGGCCAAGTGCGGATGCGTATGCAAGCTTGGCTGGGCACCAGCTTAGTCCACCTGAGGCGCTCAACTTCCTCTCACTTTTTGTCGCAGTTCTCCTGATGTGGCTCATTTCGCGATGTAAGCGCGGCTACCGCGTGCTGGTGCCCAAGAAGTCAGGAGGAGGCCGACTAGGACCAGCTCTCGCGGTTGAGAGATTCTGAACTTGGTTGCCAGAGCGCGAGCTAAGTGCGAGGGCAGCAGGTTGCCTTGGGAAGTCCCTTCAAGCATGGTGGCTTGGGTGTCTCTCTCTCTCTCTCGCCGGATTCGCCTGAAAGCCATCCTCCAGTTGGGTCAAGAACATAATTTTTACAAAAGAAGACTTCGTTGCGGAGGTTGCCCTAGGCATTTACAGACTGGGCTGGGGCTGAGAATTGTGTACGCCTACTCCGTCCAGGACTGCCCCATGAATGGTTTCGCCTGGGCCCAAGTAGACGTCCAAGGCCCTTTGCCGCAAGACTTGTGGCGTCCCAAGCTTGAACCGGAAGCTTTGGCATCCAGGTGATGCTTACAAGATCCAGTATGACGATATGGACCAGATCTCCATTGATGGTCAGGTTGCCCCTTTCTCAGCTCTGCAGGGCGTTTGCGCAGCCTTTCCCTTTTCCCAGCAGTTGCCTCATTTTGAGGGCATCTTTTCACCGGCGATGTTTTTCTTCGAGGTGATCCGGCTCTGCCTGCTTGGCTTGAAGTTCTCGGCCTTCGGCACGCTTGTGGCCTGCGTGCCGCGACATCGATTGGACAGAGACCAATGGGGAGTTGGGATACATGGCATGTTGCTTTCGCCGGAACTCGAGTTCTGTCTAGCCCACTGGTGCAGCCGCGTGGCTTCACAACCTAGGTTTTGGTGCCCATTTATGCCTCCACCAAAGGGCCGCAGACGGGAGTGCTGGCGTACAGCATGAGCAATCTGCCCGGCCCCCAAGACTGTGTGGCAGACCAGGCGAATATGATGTGGGCGCAGTGCAGCAAACAGTCACATGAGTCACGCCCATTCCAGCTTCATGCCTGCGGCAAAACTTGAGCTCTGTGACTCAGAACATATCCGTGCCCTGTATCACAGGACAACACCGAGTGTTCATGCTCTGCTTCATTGGCCAAGGACGAGTCAAGATGACGACTACGTCTTTTGGATTGTGGTGGTGGGAGCTTACCTTCTTGTCCTCAACTTCTTTTGGCTCATCCGTGCCCCGGCTGATAGCTTGAGAGGGCATCATGTGGGGAGCGGGACGTCCCTGGTGCACCGGAATTTGGCACTACTACTATTGTGAGTTGTTTCCTTTCCCTAAATGAATACTGGCAAAAACATTGGTAGTCTGCTGTTGGTTTGGAAAGGACACGTATGTCCACCTAAGCTCTAAATCGAAAATCGGGATGCGGGGGGGATGGCAGAGCCTTTGCGTCGCCGGGGGTTTTTGTGCAGTTGTCTATTCAGCAGAAATATTTTTCCAGTTGTTCAAGAGTTCTAATGATTGTTCCCTCCCAGAGGGATGGGTGCCTTTGAGGAAGTTCGATTGTGCGCCCTTTTCGTGAGTTCGAACTAACTTCATCATTCAAATTGATCTAATGGATGAGAGAAGTAGCGGACATATAGCCCTGTGTGTTTCCAATTTTCTCACCATTCCCAAAAAGATGGGTGCAATTGGCGGAATTCCACCAAATCATTTCAATCATTATGATTGTTTCAGTTGTTCCAGTTTTTCTTAAAGGGATGGGCCCCCTCTTGGCAGTTCCAGATTCATTGCTGCTTCCATTTGCTCTTTTTTGCTTTTTCATTAACATTTCACGAAATATGTGTTTTTCCCTTTTTTTTCCCCCATCATATGATTATTACTTATCTGTATTATTTTCAATGGTAAACCTTCCTCGCGATTCAATCTGCGTTAAGGATTCGCAAAGGGGCGGGTGCCTGTTGGGGATTTTCAGAAGCATTCTGCGCAGTTTTGTAATTACTGCAACTAGTTATGGCTATCAATAGAATTACCGACATGATGGAACGTAGCTCGCCTTCCTATTGTCCTAACTAAGTTGGAATAGCTAGAAAAACAACAATTAGTTTACAAGTACATTTGCCTATTTGTTTCCTAATTGTTGCACGTAGTCTATTTGATTCCAAAGGGATGGTGCCTTTGAGGAATTACAGGTACATTCTGCATATTTAATCTATTTGTTCCGATTATTCTGGTGAATCAAAAGAGTTAGACAACCTTAAGCATGATTCTTCTAAGCGTTCTATCTGTTTCCAAAGGGACGGGTGCCCTGTTTTTGGTGAATTCTGGATTTCTTTTGTTTTCTAATTATTCTACTTCTCCAACTAATTATACTTTGTATATTTGATATTTAGGATCATTGCAGCATATTGCCCGATGTATTTCTAATTATGCTAATTATTCCCTAAGGGGCGGGTGCCTCTTGCAAGATTCTAAGTGTATTTTCTAGTTCTTCTAATTATTCTTAATACTCTAAATATTCGAACTTTTCGGAAACCGACAGATGCCTTAATTTGAAATTCCAACGTTATTTTCTCTAGTTATCCAAATTTGTCGTGCCATATTGCAAAACTAGAATACTTAGAGCTTTCGCCGAATGTTTTTCTACTTGTCGAATTGTCCAAAAGAGACGGGGGCCTTTTTGTAAATGCCAGATTCAGTCTTCTATTTGTTCTAACTGTCCTAACTATTGCCATTCCCCAGTTATTTCCAATGAGATGGGTTCCTTGTAGCGCATTTCAGATTCAATTCTGCTGATTGCTCATTGACGATTCGCATTGTTCCCACAGCCCTTTGGGAATTTCAATTTCAGTTTGGGAATTGCGCTAGCTATTCTGACTGTTCTATTTACTCCAATTATCATCACGGGGATGCGCTGCCTTTTGGGGGTTTCCAAATTCATTCTTCGACTTGCTCGAATTACTCTAAATGCTTGGAGCAATAGGCATATCAGTTTTCATTATTCTATTGATTTAGTTTACTCTAAATGGTGCGACTGTTTTCTTTTTAGTTGAATTATTCGCAGAGGAACGGGTGCCTTTTGGGGGAACGAAAAGAAAACATAAACAACTAAATATGCGAATGAACGAACGAACGAACGAGCGAACAAATAAATGAAAGAATGAATGCATGCATGCATGAATGAATGAATGAATGAATTAATGAATTTATTAATGAATGAATTTATTAATGAATGAATATGAATGAATGAATGAATGAATTTAGTAATGAATGAAAAATAATGAATGAATGAATGAATGAATGAATGAATGAATGAATGAATGAATGAATGAATGAATGAATGAATGAATGAATGAATGAATGAATGAATGAATGAATGAATGAATGAATGAATGAATGAATGAATGAATGAATGAATGAATGAATGAATGAATGAATGAATGAATGAATGAATGAATGAATGAATTGAATGCATGCATGCATGCATGCATGCATGCATGCATGCATGCATGCATGCATGAATGAATGAATGAATGAATGAATGAATGAATGAAGGAAGGAAGGAAGGAAGGAAGGAAGGAAGGAATGAATGAATGAATGAATGAAAAATAATGAATGAATAAATGAATGAATGAATGAATGAATGAATGAATGAATGAATGAATGAATGAATGAATGAATGAATGAATATGAATATGAATGAATGAATATGAATGAATGAATATGAATGAATGAATATGAATGACTGAATATGAATGAATGAATGAATGAATGAATGAATGAATGAATGAATGAATGAATGAATGAATGAATGAATGAATGAATGAATGAATGAATGAATGAATATGAATGAATCAATATGAATGAATGAATATGAATGAATGAATATGAATGAATGAATATGAATGAATGAATATGAATGAATGAATATGAATGAATGAATATGAATGAATGAATATGAATGACTGAATATGAATGAATGAATGAATGAATGAATGAATGAATGAATGAATGAATGAATGAATGAATGAATGAATGAATGAATGAATGAATGAATGAATGAATGAATGAATGAATGAATGAATGAATGAATATGAATGAATGAATATGAATGACTGAATATGAATGAATGAATGAATGAATGAATGAATGAATGAATGAATGAATGAATGAATGAATGAATGAATGAATGAATGAATGAATGCATGAATGAATTTATGAATGAATGGATGACTGAATTTATGAATGAATGGATGACTGAATTTTTGAATGAATGAATGAATGAATGGATGGATGGATGGATGGATGGATGAATGAATTAATGGTTGATTGATTGATTGATTGATTGATTGATTGATTGATTGACTGATTGATTGATTGATTGATTGATTGATTGATTGATTGATTGATTGATTGAATACCTGAGTTATTGAATGGATGCATGCATGAATGGATGGATGGAATGAACCAAGGAAGAAACAGTAATTGCATTAATAAAACACCAGAACAATCATAACAACTAGAAGAGTCACAAACATAGTCCCATTTGTTGTCTTATCAACGTAATTATTGTAACTATTCCCAAAGGGGTGGGTGCCTCTTGGGGGAGTTCCAAGTTAATTTTTGCGACAACCATATTACAGTGTTTTGTTCTTTTTCCCCCGGGATTCCAGATTGTGTTGTTTCTAACTATCCAATGTTTCCGTTTCTACTTAGTTAGGCAAACATAAGCATCTGAGCAACTATAACTATGTCAATGTTTCTCACTGTTCTTTGTATTCACAAATGGACGAGCGTCTTCTGGGGAAGTCCAGTTTTGTTCTTCTCTTTTTCGCTTTGCGTGTTTTTGATCATACTGATGCTAATTGTTCTATGACACAGACTATGCAGAGTGTTTGTGGAGATTTAGCCATATGGTTTTCTTATGGCTCTCATTCAGCCTAAAGGGATGCGTGCCTTTTGAGGAATCTGAGTTTTTTTGTTGAGCTTATTCTAACAATTCAAACTGTTCTAACTACCCTGATTATTCCCAAAGGGATGCGTGCCTTTGGGGAACTCCAGATTCTTTTTCTATGTATGCTAATCATTCTGTATGATTAGAATAGGTAGCAGAACTCAAGTTACTCTAAGTGGCCCGATTGTTTTATGGTTACTTGAATTGTTCGCAGTGGGGCGGGTGCTCTTTTGGGCAATCCAGGCTCTATTTGTTTGTGAGGGGAGGGTGCCTTGTGCAAGCTTCCAGGTTCATGTTGTTTCCAATTCGTCTAGTTATTCTGCTCATTCTGCTGAACTAGGCAAATGTCGAAGTTTTCTTAGTATTCTGATTAGTCCCAAAGGGATGGGGGTCTTTTGGGAAAGCCCATGTCTATCCTTCTTTTTTTTTGATTGTGATGATAATTCTAACAAAACCATGTGTGCTACATGTTGAAAGAATGAGAACAATTAGACTAATTATAATGAATGTAGTAGTCGCACTAATTACTGGACCCGGAGTTTGCAATTAATGCAATTATTAGAACTCAATTGCACAAGTTGCAACAATTGCAAATCATAGGGTTCCGGAATTTTCAATTATTGCGCCTCTTCGAATTCAATTTCAATAGCTGCAATGATGAAACAAGACTGGGGGCCACGTATTTTTCAACTATTGCCAAGTATTACAATGATTGCAAAAATAGGGGCTCAGGAGTCGAGGACTGTGCAACTACTGAAACTATTGAAATTCAATTCCAGTAAATGCAATCATTTCAAGAATTGCAAAAGTGTTATTCCCAGATTTGCCCCCAAGCCATGCCAAACAATTGCAGTGATTGCAAAAGCTGGGGCGGGTATTGCACTTGTTCTAATTCTTGGAATTTCCAGTTCCAACAAAAGCAATATTTGCAATACTTGGAAGTCCCGGATTTCGCAATTGTTGCAACTATTGGTATTTTCAGTTCAAATGATCGCAATTCTGCAGTAGTTGGGTCCCGGATTTGGAATCATTGCAGTTACTGGAGCTTAATTCCAATAGTTGCAATATTTGCAAAACATGGAGCTCGGATTTTTGCAGTTATTGCAACTGTTAGAATTAGTTTCAATAGTTAGGGGTCCCGGAATTGCAATAATTAATTATTGGGCCTTAGACGAGGAATTGAATTGCAATAATTGCCGTAATTGGTACAATAATTGCAAGTGTTGGATTTCCATTCCAAATTGCTACAAGTTTAGGAATGCAATCCCAATCATTGCAGTTTGGATTTTACTTCTTACAAAACAAGCTCAAGCCAACCAGAGCGACACATAGGCTATGATTTTCCCTCTTTGGGGGGCGTGTCATGGGTGATTGGTGAGGCGCCGAGTGGCGGTACTTCATCAAGCTGCGACAGGACCATTTTATGCGCCGCGCGACTGGTAAGGAGGGCGAAGGGTCTGCCCAGGCCAGGCAGAAGCAACTCCGTGTGACGGAATGCATGAGCCATATCGAGCAGGTCCACTGGCCAGTTTACAGGCCTCATAGACATTGAGGATAGGGAAGGGACAGCTATGTTGGCCCCAAATACCAACAAATATTACAAAAACAGCCTGACTTGGACAAGCATTTGTCAGGCGCAGTACTCCTTGATAGTGGAAAGACTGCCCAAGAAGTTCCAGGCACGGAGCAAGATTTGGCCCAGCTTGCTTCCAAGCGGGCGCAGGACACAGTCTCGGTGGCTGGTCTTTTTTCGCAGATTTTCCCCAGACAGCAGGGCACCCAGCGGAAGGAAGCTTTGAGATGCAAGGTCCGGTAGGCGGTCACTTGGAACGCTCGTGGTCTTTGGTTACAAGGAAACATGTGTTTTGTTGCTGAATGGCATGGCAGGGCATTGGCATGGCATGGCATGGCATGGCATGGCATGGCATGGCATGGCATGGCATGGCATGGCATGGCATGGCATCGGGCTGCGAGGGTGCACTCAGCCGTGGCCCAGCGGGACACGCTGCTGTTCTACCACCTGCGTGCGCTGAAGCGGACGAGCCCGGGGCCTATGGCAAGGGACCGGGGCAACTGAGGTTAGCTACAGAGGGGGGGTGGGGGTGGTTGAGATCACTGACGTGGTCTTTCTGATAAGGAGGGGGGGTTTGCGCGTTGGACCAATTGTGATGGGCCATTGTTTGCCCAATTGCTGGGGATGGGAATAGACCTGTGTTCGCTCCTGGCAGATCATGATGTTTTCATATGTTCGTGGCATGACCTCGGCAAGGACGCAACGTTTCAGCAGAGCGGCATGAATGTCCACCGAAAATTTGTCTCGGCACCAGCACAACATATAGCTAGCAGCTTTGCTTCGCGATTGCAAGGCGACAGCATTGTGGTGTGCACCTGCTGCCAGGCGCGCCTGCCTGCCACGTCTCAAGGGATTCAAGGTTAGAGGCGAGCAGGATACCTGTCAAGCCGGGATTCTGGTTGGTGTGTGGTCTGACTGGGCACACCATGGCGTAAATATTTCTTTCTAGATGAGATGCTTGCTGATCAGGGCTGCGTGCATCGGCAGCTGGAGAAGACGGTGCAGTTGGAGCGCGCTGTTGCTCGTAGATACAGGCCAGCCTGGCCAGCCTGGCCAGCCTCAGGAAGTGGCCGGCCTGGTGGATTCGCAATTGTGGCAGACATTGTTTGCGGCTGCTTGATGTGCTTTGGGGATGGGAATTTGGACCATGCTCAGAACTTTGCCAGGCAAGCCGAGAAGTACGTCTCAGATTTTGCCATGGATGGTCAGGTGACCTGCCTTGAAGCCTTAAGATTGGCCTTTGTTTGATGCTACCGAGGGAAGGGCGCAAAACTGAATCAAAAGCCATTTTGTAGCAGCGCAGACGGTGGACCTTCAACTTGAATCAGTGGACCCATCGAACTTGTTCGCTTGGCTCCTTCTTGCGGCAATTTTCATTTGCGCCCCAAGGTTGATCCAGAGCTGCGCGAGAACCTCATGCAGCAAATGCCGGGTTTGCAGGCATTGCTTGGAACGGTATTCCGTCTGTTCTTTTCTCCTTTGGGTGTGGTGCCCGGGCTTTTGGAGTCTGGCCAACGGAAGCGCCACAGTCCCACAGGACTCGCAATCGCATGGGAATGGACCGCGCACGCGCGCCCGAAAGTGTGAAGCGGAGGTGCCCCTCAGCCTTCCCGGCGTGAAGGGTGTGTTCGGGGGTGAGACTGCAGAGCAGGGAGACACTTGGTGAGAAAAGGCTGGGGTGCAGGAGGGAGAAGGCTGACATCAGGCACTTGCCCCAAAGCAGAGCCCTGTTTGCTGCGACTGCCATAGTTAGTTAGACGACAGATGGGGGGCTCAAAAGGTCCTTTACATGGGAAGGCCATTAGAGAAAACAACTAAAAATGATATATTTCCACTAAATGGAAAAAAACTTACCCATGCTCATTTTGGGGCTGGGAATATTGATCAACCCCCAGATGTGTTCCCCAATTTCCGCTTGAGATACGTGCCTTAAACCGCCAAGGCTTCTGCCTGCACCAAAGCACTGGCCACAGTTGAACATACAGAAATCAAAGTACACGGAAATACAAGGGCTGCATTCCGAGCACGGGGCTTTTGCCATCCATTTGCGATATAGTTGTGCAAACCTGTCGAATCTTCTGGGGAGCAATTTATCCGCCATGCATTTTGTGCCTCCCTTTCTGAAAGAAGGGTTGGTGGAACTGAGCTCTTGAGGAGGATTCAGACCTTGGTGAAGGCATGTGCATGTGAAGAATACATCACTTCTCCAAGATTGTTCGGCACGCGAGGACGAAGAAGCACCCCGAGAGAGGCGAAAGCCACGGCTGCAAAGATCCCAGCATCTGAACCCTGAGTCGGAGTGTCCACCCAGCAGCACGGCCTTTGTGACATTGAAGAAGCTTGCCGAGCTTTGGCCGAATTGGACCAAGGAAGCCTCGAAGGTGCAAGTCAAATTTGCCTCGCATGATATTACTGGCGACCATTTTTTTCATGGCAAGTCTTGGCCGCTTGTATGTTGAAAAAAGGCCAAATGCACAGTGCAATGGATTCAGGTAGTTGCGGATGTGTTGAGCAGACGGTCGAGTGAGGCTAACAAATATCTAAGAAAGCAGGATCGTGTGCTGGCAGAGCAGATCCCCCTCTTCGATGCGGGCCAAGACGAAGCTGGAATGGAGTCTATCATCGTAGCTCCCGCGCCGGAGGACGGCATGACAACTCTAGAATGCGGCACTTCCCAAATCATAATTGAGCACTGTCTTCGTGAGATGCTTTGCATTTTGTGTGATACCTTACAATTTCGATTGACAGTATGCCCCCCCATGTCCCTTGGATGAAGAATCATTTTTCAGGCCAGAGCCATCATTTGGGAGAATGTGCAGCTGCCCGTGGATCAAGTATTGCACTTCGGCTTCAGCTTTGATGGACAAGACATCTCGCAATTTGGGCTTTCGGGATTCGAGAGTGTGAAGAATGTGCAGGGCAGGAGTGCTTCCTGAGCATGCGTGGATATTGTTTTTGGATAGGATCATTCGACTTGTTGAGCACTGCTCAGGCAGCGGCAGACCGTGGGCAGAGCTTTGTGTGTCGTTGGCATTCTGTTCTGGTCGATCCCCATCACTTCGATACAGGCCCGGAATCTGGGCACGAGACGCATTGCAGAGCTGCCCAGGAATATGGGGCCCAGCTAGTGGACCAAAAAGGCCTCATTTTTCTAGAATATTTAGCATCATTTTATTTTTTTTTTTTTTTTGGGTTATGCAACAACATGTACCCTGCTATAAACAACACTCGCTGGCTCGATACGCACACCCTCGTGACATACCTTTATCATTGCATGCCTTTATTACATCCCTCACGTTAACAACATCGCCTGGCTGGTTGCATCCCCCGCGTTGCATACCTCGATGCATACCGAGACTCTGACTGATTTCCCATAATTGCCTGCAGAGCAGACCGCTCAACATACCTGTGCAGAGTCAACTTGCAGAGAGCTTGACCTTCAGAAGAATAATATTAGAACAGCTAGGAGGGAGGGGGGCCGGAAGAATCTTCATTCTGTGCCATACCTCGTTACATGCCCAACCCAGCCCGGGTCCAGTGACCCCTTATTTGCCATTACCTGGCTTGCGTTGAACAGGGGGAACTTTGAGCTGGAGCTGTGGACAGGTTTGAGGATTCCACGGGACGGCTTATTTAAACCGCTTACAAAAAGGGTACCCTCAAAAGACGCCTCCCGTCGAATCCTGCGCTCAGGCCCTGTCCTCACAGCAGCTCCTACAGGCGATGCTCTCCGCAGAGGCCCTGGAGTGGTTCCAGACGCACGCTGGCGTGGATCCTTGGCGAAGCGGGCCGAAGCATTGCCGCTTAGGGACTCCAACGCTTTGCTTTGCGCATTTTGGAACAGTCTCATCATTTACATGCGAGGTTTTGAAGATTTGAAGCAGACTTGTGGGACTGTCAAGAGGAAGCTGGGCAACATCCACAACAAGCGCCAGTCCAGCTGTTGCCAATGCCACGTCATGTTGAGTCGCAATGAGACCAGCACTCCACAGTTTGTGCAGCTGAGCCCAACGTAGCGAGGCACAAGACAATTGTTTGGCGTCCAACTAGATAACTAGACAGTGGAACGATACGCACAAGCTTTAACTCATTTGACTGGAAATGCATGGATTCAATCAACCATTCAAAGATTCCATCATTCAATCAAATGTTCACTCACTCATTCATTCGTCCATTCACTCATTTACACATTCACTTCCTTCACGTCATTCATTCATTCTTTCATTCATTCCTTCCTTCCTTCGTTCGTTCGTTCGTTCGTGAATTCGTTCGTCCATTCATTCATGCATGCATGCATGCATGCATTCATTCATTCCTTCATTCATTCATTCATTCATTCATTCATTCATTCATTCATTCATTCATTCATTCATTCATTCATTCATTCATTCATTCATTTATTTATTTATTTATTCATTCATTCCATTCATTCATTCATTCATTCATTCATTCATTCATTCATTCATTCATTCATTCATTCATTCATTCATTCATTCATTCATTCATTCATTCATTCATTCATTCATTCATTCATTCATTCATTCATTCATTCATTCATTCATTCATTCATGCACTTCACTACTTCCTCTTATTCTATCCATTCAAATCTATTTTCTACGGTTTATTCTTTTCATTCCTTTGATTCGTTTCATTCCTTTCATTTGTTTCATTCCTTGGTTTCATTTCATTCATCGTTATTCATTTCAGTCAGTTCATTGTTTCATTCTGTTCATTCATTTCAGTCATTGAATTGATTTCAGTCATTGCATTCATTCCATGTATTTCATTCCATTCATGCCATTCATTGCATTTTTTTTTTTATTCTTTCCATTCTTTCAAGTCTTTCGTGTTTTTCCCATTCCCCATTTTCCCTTTGTTCCATTCTATCCATTCATCCATCCGTCCATCGATCCACCCGTCCACCCACCCACCCACCCACCCATCCATTCGTCCATTTCAGTTTAGGACCTGCCCTCATGACTCGTTTTTGCGGCGTTGGCGTGGGTCAGCTGAAACTCGTGGCTTGCCTCACCAAGTCGGCAACTCCCCGCTTCTATGCCGCTGAGTGGCATTTGAAGGATTTCTGACCATCCCTCGATCTGGCGAATGCCGTTTCAGCATGGCGTTCGGAGTGTCTCTCGCCACCTCGCTCCCTTCCCTCACTCAGCCACGCCCATGAAGTGCGAGTGTGCACTCTTCGCGCTGCGTGCCCGGCCTAATTGCATCCAACGCTAATTACAAAGCCAGGGGCGCATTGCTCCCTGAATGGAGTTCCTCCGCAGCGAAAATTTGGCTTCCTCTTATTCATGAGTGGCCAAAAGGATCCCTTGTTCTTTTGAGATTAGACTTGTATGGAAGCACCGCCAACAACCTCAGCCTTTTTTGCAACGGACATGAACTGTTTTTTTTTCAGCGAGCAAGTCTTCGGTTCGGCGCTCCAGATCCATGGCCAGAGCAAGAAACCTGATAGAGAGCGGTGCTTGTGGTGGCTTCTGAGGTCTACTCCCTCATAGCCACTTGGGCCAGGATGGCGTCTTTTTTTTTTTTTTTGGGGGGGGGGCGGGGGCTTCAAAAGCAACTTTGGATGTGTCGGGATTGGGTCAAGGGAAGCACGAGTTTCACACAACTGAACACACGAAAGGGAGTCTGCCTAAGGTTGGGTACTTCACGGTTCTGGCCTTGCTCGTACTGCTGGTGATTTTGCCCATCGCTCCATGTCCGCTCTTGGTGTTTTGCAGTCATTGGTTACATGGGCGAGACAGTTGTATACTTTTGGCTTTCGGGAAGCGCTGAACCGTCAGCCTGGGACATTCGAAATGCTTGTTTGGGAACTGCCAGTCTCCCAAGCTCTGGCCAGTCAAGCCAAGGCCCTGAATTTCATTGGTGTCTTTGTTGAGGCGCGTGGCCATAAGAATCTATTCATGCAGTCATGCGGAGCATGTGGCTTGCGAGATCACACTTTTGTCCGCTTTTGTTCGTGTGGCAGTCGTTTGCCCCGCAAGTTGTCTCATATCGTGGACAGAGCAGTGTCGGCACCCTGAAACCGAAGCCATGGATGCAGGCGAGGAAGTCCAGGACCGAGGTGGACAAGTCCGTGATGCAAAGGCAGGGTGGGTGTACTTGAACATGTCACACCATGGACGTGAGGCATCGGCATCGGCACAAAAAGGCCAAATCTCGATTCCCCACTCGGGATGCGACAGGAACCTCTGGTTCCAATTCTTTTCCCTGTGGCTTATGGCACCTTGGCGTGCAGTGATCGTGCTCATGTACGAATGCCTATGCTTTGGCCGGTGGACATGCTGCGTGCAGCAAAATGATTGAACTGTACAGACTATCACCCGTAGCCATTTGGGCTCAAGGTCCATCATCTGCGTTGTACTGTCAGGTCTCCCCTGACACAGGATTGTTCTCTATCTAAGCCAACGATTGCCGAGGGCAATGCGGGTCGACTGGCCAGCGTGATCAGCTTCATGTCTTGCTCCATCTCCATGCTCGTGATGAATGAACTGGCTGTTATCGTTTCCCCCCTAAGAGCACCCTCGCAGCTATCCAGATGGCAGCTGTAGTTGCTCGCTTTTGCATTTGCCACTATCCCCATCGGCTCACGTAATTAGGCTTGCTGCTGACCTCAATGGCAGCGCTGAAGCGCTCGCCCATTAGCCTGCTAATCGTCTTCTGCGCGGTTTTCTTTTGTTGGGCTGCCGGTGACACTGACCACAACGGATCTCAAAGATTTCTGGCCAGGTGGCAGTATCCGCCATAGAGTGCTTCGAAGGTGAGCTGTTGTACGCTCCTGCGGAGCTGGGCGTCAGTTGCAAGGCTGTCACAGCGTGCTCGTCTCGACCAATGCCAACAAGTGTGGTGATTTGACTGGAGGCTTTCGCATCGTGCAGCGAAGTGCTGAGCCGCTTGCGGACCTTCGGCGCGCTGGTCAGTAGCAGGAGGCCTGTGGCGTGGTAAGGCGCTGGAAGAAGGCAGCTAAGCGTGAGCCACTAAAGCGCAGAGCCAGTTGCGCAAGATTGCTTATCCGGGAGCGAGGGAGAGTGTCAGCAAGATGTCAACGGTTTGTAGGCGCCCACGTAGTTTTCCCAAAGCGTTCCCGAAGATGCCCGAATATTGTTTTTGCAAGACTTGTCCCTGGGCCCGTCAAATGCTGCCAGGTGAGATTGGACACACGCCACCTTGATTTGCGCGCCCATGCCCGCGCAACTTTTTACTTGTCGCAGACAGGTTGAAACCTAGCGCAATCAAGAAATGAGGAGCTTTGTGACGCGCTCGTTGTTGCTGTTTCACAATTCCCCGCAACAAGGCCGACCAGGTGACACCCTCATGGATTCACGCCCAAGGTGGTAAGATGAGGTCCAAGCGAATCTGGACCATGGCGCAGTTGTTTTCTCGACGGTCATCCGCTTCCAACACATCCCAGGTCTTCAGCAGCTCTCTGGCAAATTCAGTGTGGCAGATCATGGACCACCCTGGCTGCAACTCGGACAGATCTTTACTTTTGTGCCTCGAAAAGATTGCCAACCTCCGATCCACAGGATGTCTTCATTGCAGCTCGCAGCCCTTTCACACACGGGAAAACAGTCATGATGTTCAAAGGCAGGTAATCATGGGCAAGGTCGCTTGGCCACCTGAAAATGCTGAATTCAAACAGTTGATTTAGCTTGAGATTTCGAGTATTGATTGTTCTGTTCGTTGAACACGAATTGGCGTGTTGCCATTGTGCTCCGTATGACAGGGTGTGGTGAGCGTTGAACATGGCGTACGCTGATGCTTCCCCCCCAATGGTCAACAATGTGTTTGGCGCCCTGAAATGGGCTATTTGGGGGTGTGAGTGAGTGCAAGAGACAGTCAAGGCCTTGCGACGATTCTTGGCAATGCCATTCCGCAGGTATCTGCACCTTGGCAAATGCAAAAGATGAGACAACAGAGTGAATGCACACTCGCATTTGAGGACAGACAAGCAAGTAGGAGTGTTGTTTTGGAGAGCATGCCAGCGACAAGCAAACTTGCCACATTTTGATGTAGTCTCAGTTGGTGGCTTAGGTGTACTTCACTACGCTCCCTGCTTGCAACAGAGTGACATCGAACCGGCTTGTTTGCTCAATGTCCATTTCAAAGGAGCGACGCTTGAGCGGAAGGCTGGATCTCCTGGCAGCCAAGGTTTGTCATTGCAAGGCGCGGGGATTGTTGGCGGCCTTGCGACTGATTGATGTGCTTTGACATGTTTCCTTAAGGCGAGCCCCAAGTCTGCATGCTTTGAGTTTGCTTGGCGACCTTCTGAGAAGAGCCAGACGACGCCAAAATCGGAATCGCGTGCTCTGCGCCGGCCAGGATTGGCTTGAGTCTGCCACTCCTTTTGCTGCGCTTGGACGCACTCAAGTCTTTGATTGCCGGGTGCTGAGGTTAGGCGCAATCAAGTGGTCCCACAGTCAGAAGCAACAGACAGGCACAGCAACTAGGGTACAGTCAACAAGGGCGAGTGCAAGTTTGGTTGCCCAGGTGCTTCCCAGGCGCAGTGCTCCGAACAAAGAGTCGGGTGCAAGCAGCAGCACTGACGATGGGAGTGCCAGTTCAAGCGAAAGTGACGAGGCTGGACAGTTTTTGCAGAGTTGGCCAGGCCACCTGCATGTGAGTTATGTTAATGAGCATTGGGCTGGCTTGGTTGTTTGCTTTCTTGCTTGCTCACTGGCAGTTCCACTTGCCAGCTAGCAGTTTGGCTAGCTGTCCTTGGCTCCAATCGATTCTTCTTGTCGGCGATGCTTGTAGCCGTCCTTGCGGTGGTCCTTGATCCTGCGTCAGGCGAGCGAGACGCCGGTTGCTCCGGTTTACTGCTACTTCGCATCAGAGGCGCCTGGAGAGTCGCTGGCAAGATTGCACTCAGCGCATTTATGTCCACAGCTGTTGCGTCGGACCAGGTGACCAACATCACCATTGTCTTCGTCCTGGCTCTCATGTACTGCGTTGTGGCGCCAATCATGATGCCAGCATGTGCCCAATCTGCACGGAAGGGGCAGGCCATTGCAAGATGAAGGATGAAGCTGCAGGGTGAGGGATTGTCAGCATTGATCCTATTTGTAAAGATTCTGTGGAAGCATCGACGCACCAAAGTAGAGGCTTGTGGGGTGAGGCCTTTGAATTCTTCCCCATGTGCACCTGGGCCAAGGTATGATTTACTTCGGCCTGGCCTTCGGTGTGTACAAGTGGCTCTTTGTGCACGTCTACAGCAAGGAGATCGACCTCCTGGGAGAGTGCTGGCGCCCTGGCGAGGACTGGATACTTTTGGCAGACTTTGCAGGAGCTGAGGGCTGGGTCCAGGCACCAAGTTGTTCTCTCGGAAAGTCAGCAAGGTGCAGAGTGTGCCCTGATGCGATGCCTTGACGCTTGCAATATGCATGAAACTTGGTGACCACCCGGTTGATGATTCAATCAGAGGAAGCAACCTTAGTCCCCCACAGTTCTGATAGTTGCAAAGGGAAGCCAACTTGTGAGGCTTGCTTCGCCAGCGCAACGATGACAGGAAACGGAAACCGGCCGTTGGAGGACTGGGCTACGATGGTCCTTCCAAGGGGCAGGTTACCCAGCAAATCGAAGAACGCTTCCGGTTTCCAGATCCCCACTCTGTTGAAAAGGGGAACACCCACAACGGTTTCGGGTTCCTTCCCTTTTGACCAAGATTAACCGTTACCCTCAAACAAAGAAAGCCACACGCACAGGCACACATACAGCATACATTCTTTGATTGGTAGGACTTCGAGCTGCATGGTTGACCATCAACCCGAGGTACCCGGTGTTCTGGGGCCTCATTGTGGGCATGGCCTTCGGCACGGTGTCCCTCG